TTTCTAAAAATAAAAATTATTTTTAAAAATAAATAAAAGCAATAAATGCTGGAGAGGGTGTGGAGAAAAGGGAACCCTCTTACACTATTGGTAGGAATGAAAACTAGTACAGCCACTATGGAAAACAGTGTGGAGATTTCTTAAAAAGCTGGAAATAGAACTGCCATATGACCCAGCAATCCCACTTCTGGGCATACACACCGAGGAAACCAGATCTGAAAGAGACACATGCACCCCAATGTTCATCGCAGCACTGTTTATAATAGCCAGGACATGGAAGCAACCTAGATGCCCATCAGCAGACGAATGGATAAGGAAGCTGTAGTACATATACACCATGGAATATTACTCAGCCATTAAAAAGAATTCATTTGAATCAGTTCTAATGAGATGGATGAAACTGGAGCCCATTAATACAGAGTGAAGTAAGCCAGAAAGATAAAGACCATTACAGTATACTAACACATACATATAGAATTTAGAAAGATGGTAACGGTAACCCTATATGCAAAACAGAAAAAGAGACACAGATGTACAGAACAGACTTTTGGACTCTGGGAGAAGGCGAGGGTGGGATGTTTCAAGAGAACAGCATCGAAACATGTATATTATCTAGGGTGAAACAGATCACCAGCCCAAGTTGGATGCATGAGACAAGTGCTCGTGCCTGGTGCACTGGGAAGACCCAGAGGGATCGGGTGGAGAGGGAGGTGGGAGGGGGGACCGGGATGGGGAATACATGTAAATCCATGGCTGATTCATTTCAATGTATGACAAAAACCACTGCAATGTTGTAAAGTAATTAGCCTCCAACTAATAAAAATAAATGAAAAAAAAAAAGAAAAAAATTTAAAAAAAGAAAAATAATAATAAATAAATAAAATTATTTTTAAAAATAAATAAATAAAATTGAGATTTAGCTTGACTGAAGGATTTGTACAGGAAGCCAGAGCTGGTGAGCAGCTCAGTGGGATGGTGTTCGGGGACCTTTGTCTCCAGAGCTTTACCTGCCAACCCACTGCTCCCAGGGAGAAGGCAGCTCTTCCTCTCTGGGAATTAGGCCTCTGGGGCAATTCTTTACTTCCTCAAATGGTGTGCATCTGGCATCGCCAGGGGCCCACATACAGCACAATCCCTTCTATTTAATATTCAAAGATTTTTTTCAAAATACTGTCTGAATGTGACCCTCACAATAAATCTCTAGATCTAATAGAAGCAAGGAAACAACTTAAGAGATAAAGCAACTTGCCAAAGGTAGACAGCTAGTAACAACAGTACACCAGGACTGGTTACTAGCCCAGGGTTCCAAAACCCAGTCTCTCACATCCCTCAAGCCAAATAAAACACCCTGGACTTGGAGGGCAATGCTTGATCAGGGAAAAAATTCACATATAGCAGAATTGAATAGACAACAGAAATAACTTGACAGAGGACAGGATGCAAGGATACAGTATATACAGCATATCTATAATGTATGAGAGTCTTCTTTTTGAGTCTGGAGCTGGGTACAGGAGACTCTTAAAATATAGAGAGAATGTGATTTTATACGTTTATCTATCCCTGCACCACACTAGGGGTCGGGGGTAGGGGGAGGGAACTCTTTGAAATATAACAAACTCAAGATCATAAAGATATGTTATTTTTTTGTTGCTGTTTTTTCTTTGTCTCTGTTTCAGCTTTTAGGGAGAGATGGTCTTTTTTTTTTTTTCCTTTTTTTTGGCCATGGCTTGTGGGTGTTAGTTCCCCAACCAGGGATCAAATCCAGGCCTTCAGCAGTGCGAGCGCAGAGTCCTAACTGCTGGGCCACTAGGGAGTTCCCAACATATCCTTCTATCGCGCTAAAATTATGACACATAAATATGTCCAGACTTCAGATATAATCAGAACCAACAAGAATTCAGCCTAGGAAAGCAAAGTGCTGAGTTAACCCACAGTTATTTTTTTTTTTTGGATATAGACTCCATTGACAGGTGTAAAGCAAATCCTCTATGAAGTCTTCCTCTAACTTTCACAGTCTAACAAGTATTCCTTCCTGTTTAATCTTATCATCTCTTTTTGCATGGATGTCTCAACCAGCTGAAAGCTCCTTAGGGAGAACGAACCTTGTCATATTCAAAATCTTTATGCTTGGTATAGGTAGGTGGTTTAGTCACTAAATCATGTCTGACTCTTGCAACCCCATGGACTACAGCCCACAAGGTTCCCCTGTCCATGGGATTCTTCAGGCAAGAATATTGGAGTGGGTTGCCATTTCCTTCTCCATTGGTATAGGTATGTACCTAATAAATATTTGTTGGATGTATTTTTTCAATTTGATTTTTATTTTATTTATTTATTGACATACAATACTGCATTAGCTTCAGGTGTTCAGCATATGATTCAGTATTTTTGCAGAATATATTCCATTATGAGCTATTACAAGATAAGAGGTGCATTCCCTCTGCTATGTAATATATCATTGTTGTTTATCTATTTGATACATAGTAGTCTGTATCCACTAATCCCATACCCCTAATTTGTCCCTCCCCCTTCCCCCCCACTTTGATTACAAGTTTGTTTTATATGTCTGAGAGTTTGTTCTGCATATACATTCATTTTGTATTATTTTTTTAGATTCCACACATAAGTGATATCATAGTATTTGTCTTTCTCTGTCTGACTTAATCACTAAGCATAATATTCTCTAGGTCCATCCATGTTGTTGCAAATGACAACATTTCATTCTTTTCTATGGCTGAGTAATATTGTAGGATGTATGTTTTTCTTTATAGTCCTGCAGCAGACTGGGTACAGCAGGGATCCACCACCATCTTGCACACATGAAAAAGAAGACTTGCATACATTGTATTAATAGATACACTGTATATACTGTATCCTTTTATTCTTTCCTGTGTCAAAAGTTATTTCTGTTTGTTCAATTCTGCTCCACAAAGGTTTAGGCAGTTTCCACTGCATACAAAGTACAATGTTAACAACAGACTGTGGTTTTAGCAGAAATTACCTTTTAAATATAGCAATGCCTGGTATATCCTTTTCCTGGTACTTACAATGGCTACATTTATTTAACAGCTAGAAGGAGCCTGGCTGAATACTTTACATACATCACTTAATTTGATCCCTTAAGATCTTATGATATAGAAACTATTATTCTACCTTTTTGGCAGCCCTTACCTTTGGGAGGCTCACACATATATAACACAGGAGCAGATATAAAAGTGAAAGTGAAGTCGCTCAGTCGTGTCCGACTCTTTGCGACCTCATGGACTGTAGACTACCAGGCTCCTCCATCCATGGAATTTTCCAGGCAAGAGTACTGGAGTGGGTTGCCATTTTCTTCTCTAGGGGATCTTCCCAACCCAGGGATTGAACCCAGGTCTCCAGCATTGCAGGCAGATGCTTTACCATCTGAGCCACCAGGGATTTTGAGCAAATATATAGTAAAATACAATTTTTAAAATACTGTGTTGTTAATTCCAATTCCTGAAGTAAATAAGGTTATTAGGACAGAAAGGAAATTTATTCCTTTAGAAAAGAAAAAAAGGTCATATAAATAGGTGCTTCCTTATTCTACAGATTCATAATCTCAACGTGCTAAGAAAAATGGAGAAATTAACCTGAAGAGCTGGAATTTGTAATTAAGGTAAACTAGAGGCTTGCTCAAGGTCACAGGGAAATTAGAGGCAGAGCTGATACCCAGATTCAGGTTTAATGGAGGGTAACATGCTGTGTCCTGCCCCAACTCTTGGTGCTTCAGAGCCAGGCAAAGGTTCCTGCTTTGATCATACCTGTCTTATGCACACCTACTACCTCTCTTTCATTGAACATAAGTTTCTCTTATCTGCCGAACCAACGCAGACTGGAATTTTATAGAACATACACAGTAAATATGTAATAAAAAACACAAACAAATCAACAAGGACCTAGCACACAGAACTATATTCAACACCATGTAATAACCTGCAATGGAAAAAAATACTTGAAAAAAAAATATATGAATTACTTTGCTATACATCTTAAATACAGCACTGTAAATCAACCACACATCAATTAAAAATAAAATAAAGCAAAAACAAACAAATGAAGAGTAGTAAGCTGGAAATAGCCATAACACCCCTGAAAATGCAGAATGGAAATGCTTCTGGAAGGGGCTTGTGCTCTCTGTTCCTGCTACCCTTTCAATACTTCAGTATCACACCTGCTGCTTCACTCAGTTAAACTACCTGCTTAGCCTCCATTGTCTCCTCAGTCAGCGTGTAAACTTCAAGGCACAGGATATATCAGAATCTCAGCCAACTTACACAAGCCCAAAGACCAATCAATACTGACCACTGCCCCCGAAGCCCTTCTTGTGGATGACGAGTTTGTAGACCTTTGTTGTTCTCATCTTGTACTGTTGTTTCCTTCAGCTGTTCCAAGTTTGGGGGAGAGAAGTCATCTTGCCTCCCTGCCAGTGAAATACAAACAAAAAAGGCTGGAATGTCATAGTTTTCTTTGCAACTGCTCTTTGATTTTAGGGCAGTGAAAATACTGCTCTTGCTCAGCTGAGAGGTGGCACCAATCCTTGGATGAAATCACTCCTCCAAATACCAAGAGGGATGGGAAACAAACAGAACCAACCAATCTGGGAACGCAAGGGAATTCAAGTCAGGGTCTACTCCAACCTCCAAGATACGCTATCACACCCTAAAGGGAAAACTTGGAGTGAACGAGGCACCATTACCTTGCCTCTGTAGAAATCAATAACACTCAAACATTAAAGAGACCTTAAAAGAGGTTTGGTACATTCATTTTGTAGATGAGGAAAGTGAGGGCCAGCGCAAGAGACATGCCCGAGGTCTCTGAGACTGATAATACCTACTGTTCACGTTCGGCCACCGATGTCTTGGGCAGGGAGAGTGTAAATAGAGGAAGGCTCGCTCCCCAAACCTCCACCTGCACAAACTCTCCGCGGCTCCTATCCGTACCAGCTCCCCTCATGTCAGAACTGATGTCACTGAGGCTCAGAGACGGACAGAGACTAGTCTAAGGTCACACAGCAGGTTGGGGGTGGGGCCAGGATTCGAACCGGGGCCCTGGCCCTCTCCTCCAGATCCCCAACTCCGGCCCCGGCGGACAGGTCCACTCACCCGCAGCTCCGGAGCCCCTTCCCGCTTGAGGCCGGGGTTCCGACGGCCGGACCCTAACCAGGTCCCCGCGCCTCCTTCGGACGTCCCTCCTACGCCCGCAGAGTCCGCGAGGATCCGGTGCCGGATCTCCAGGCGCCGGCCGGCCCGCCCCGGCCACAGAGCGCTCACCTGAGAACCCGCGCCGCTCCGGTGGCTCCGCCCCGGGGCACCGCCCCCTTCCCGCCCACCCGCGCCGAGCCGCTCTGGCCGGGCCTCCGCCTCATCTCGGTGTCCGCGCCACTTCCCCATCCGGGGCTCGCGTCGGGGGCGGGGCCTCACGTGCGGCCTATTGGCCGGGATGCCGGACGGCGTTTCCCGCTTCCGAAGGGCCGTCGACCCGGGCAGGAAATCCTTTTCCTCCTAGACGTTCCGAAATAGATTCGAGCCCAAGAATTGACTTCCGACCTAGTGATTTCCCCCACAGGACGAGCGTCCCGGGATCTATAAAGGATGTTACGGACCTTCGCGGGGTCTCCTAGGGCAACGGAGAGGCACAAAATAGAGTTTCTGGGGGAACTTTTGTAAAATGTAAAGGGCTGAGCATGTGCGACTTAGTGCGATGGCCCCTGCTGGGAAGTATCCGCTTTGGGGGGCTTCTCAAATTCTTCCAAACCCCAAGTGGTGTTCTGTGCCTCTGTTTATTGGTAATAGCTACCATGGTTTTCACAGACATTCTTATGTAATGGTCACATCCCTTTATGGAGGCAGATACTATTTCATTTCACAGACAACTGGAACAGGCTGAGGACAGAGAAATCCTCGGGAGGAAGCGAGTACGGATCCTGACCCGATGCAGTCAAACTTGGCTCCAAGGCTGAGCGCTTAACTAGCATCCTCATGTCTCACCCAAGGGCCTAAGCCCCTATTCTGTTGGGACACCTTTCTCTTCTCAAGGGATATAGCGCCGTGTGGGCAGTGCCTGAAGCTGGCTAAGGGCTCCAGGCAAGTTTCCAGCTCCATCTAATTGACCTATGAAAGTGAAAACTAGTCGCTTTGGGTTGCCATTCCCTATTCCAGGGGATCTTCCCAACCCAGGGATCCAATCCGGGTCTCCTGCATTGCAGGCGGATTCTTTGCTGACTTTGACTGAGCTACAAGGGAAGGCAATTTACCTATAGTTTTTGGAAATTTTCTGAATATTGAAAGGAAAAAAGCACCGCATATCACAAAGGAACTGGGGGTAGGTGAAGGGTTCAGAAGTTAAATAATTTTTAAATAATTGTAATTTTTAATAGTAAAGAAAAGCATGTAAGCACACTGCAACAGTTGCAAAACTTTTCAAGGATAAAATGTTAAATGTTAGACATGTTTATGTTGCCATTTCAGGGTGGCACCCCCAGTTCTCTCAGACTGTTTTTGTTTGTTTTTTAGTAGCTAGTGAGAAGTCCTTCCATCCCAGACAGAATTAAGGGGACTGTATGTTCCTGGCCCTCGGGGGAATTTGATTCTTTCTCCTGAGCAATGTCCATAATTGGTGTCATATCTTAGCAATACAAATATTTCACTTTTTAATTTGGCAAAAATTCCTTAAATCAAAAAACGACAATAACAACAATAAAACCTTGTCAAGGTTTGAGACTTTAAAAAATGTCTAAAGCTGGGCAAAGCTAAGGAAGGCTGGAGCAGGTGGCCAAAATACTGGGGAGTCAATGAACTTGGTTCTACAACCACCTGTGCGATTGCCTGTTTTTAGCTGTGTACCTTTGCACAAGATAATTCTCTTTGCTCAAATTTCTCCCTTGACAGATGGGAATTAAAAGTAAGTGTTATTCTTCCTTCACAAGGTGTTTGAGGGCCAAATGAGGTGAAGGACATGTTACATTAGGTCTTTGAAATTAAAAGAACTTAAAATGCCATGTGAATGTCACCAAAAGCATGGAATTTACCAGGAAATTGGCTCTCATTGACTTTTAGGGGGTTGAATGATCATGCTTCTTTGAGGTCTCTTTGTGCTTACTACATACAGAGCTAGGAGCAAGACTAGGACTAGAGTGAGGTGGGTGAGGCTAGTGAGTTGTTCAGTCATAAATCCTGACTCTTTTTGACCCCATGGATTGCAGCACACCAGCCTTCCCTGTCCTTCACTATCTCCCAGAGTTTGCGCAAATTCATGTCCATTGAATCGGTGATGCTATCTAACCACTTGCCTTATTTAGGGCACAAAATGCTAAGGGGGTGCCAAAAAACTCAGCGAGATAAATGATAATGTGATTGTTTTTAAAGGAAGCAATACAAAAAAAAATCCATGTTGAACAAAATATCACATTTTGAAAATAAAGATGAGAACAATAATGGTGCAGTGCCTGTCATATTAGAACCTGAGGCAGAAGACAAACCAATAACACTGGGTTTCTCAGATCCTAGTCTGTAGGCATGCAGTGGCCTGAGGAAGAAACTGAGGTCTTGGATACTCCTGTAAAAATGTGTAGAAATGTCTTGAAGTGAGTTTCTAGTTAATTCCAACAACATCTGTAGTAGCCTATATGTGAAGTGCCTGCATACATGGATGATGGATAGACTCATTAGATGTAAACAATAGTTGGCATTTGGGTTTTTGTATCTCCAGCCCTAACTAAAACTGGGAAAACCACTTTCTCAGATAAAACAGTCCGTGTGTTGGCTGGTTCAAAGATACCTTGATCGGAGAAGAGAAAATTAAAATCTCTCACAAAACTGTAAAACTTTAGCTCTCTAATCAGCCAAGAAATAACAGACTTCTGTTTAAACACAAGACTGTAATTTGCAGCAAGTTGATTGCATTCTCTAGACCTCCATTCCCTCTTGAAAGAACATTCTTTTCCTTCCTTCAAATATCTGCTTAGTGTTTGCTTGTGCGGGCACTGCTCTAGGCGGTGAACAAAGAATGATTAACAAAACTGACGAGGGTGGGAAAGAGAGATGATAAAAGGAGTCGATAAATAGATGAAATGGCAATTTCAGCTAGTGTTAAAGCTATGAAGAAATGAAAACAAAATGCCAGAAAGGAAATGGAGCAGGGGACTGACATGATCTAAAATACTGATTCCAGGTATAAAAAGATATCTTGGGCTGCCAGGGTAGAAGCCGAGAGGTCCCAAGAGTTGCAAACATTAGGGCCAGAAAAGAGGACTGGACCAGGGTGGTAGTAGTGGAATCAGACACTGGGCCTGAGGCTCAGCAACAGTCAAAAGGTGTGTTCCTCTTTAAGAGTCCTGGAGGCGGGGGCGGGGCAGAGGCCGCCGGAGCTGGCTGGGGGAGGGAGTCTCTACGGGGAAGAGCCGCCTCAAGGGTGCGCGCGCGCAGTGCGGGGGCGGGACTTGGGCGAGTCCGCATGGCTGGTCCGGGCCCCGGATGAGGAAGTGCAGGGCGACCATAGAGACGAAGAGGCGGCGGCGGCCGGAGCGCCCCCGGGCTCTCTCGGCTCCGCAGGCTCAGGTAGATTCGGCGGCGACGGGGTTGCTGCTGCAGAGGCCGGGCTGGCGGGGCGAGCGCGGGCCGCGGAGCAGGCCTCAGGGTAAGAGGCCGGGGGCGGGAAGGCTTGGGGCGTAGCCGCCCCGCCCCACTCAAGCCCTAGCGGACCCTCAGCCGGTCGGTGCAGGCTGAGGGGGAGCCCGGGTCCCCCGCCCTCTTGGGGCGCTGACGGGAACGCAGGCTGCGCTGCGGGCGCCGAGAGACCAGGGGAGAGGGAGGAGCCCAGGCCCCGCGTCGCGAGGGCAAAACGGCTTCTCCAAGTCATGGCTCCGGCGGGGGAAAGCGACTCCTCGTCGACCTTAGTACGGCAGGGGACCCCTCAACTTCTCTCCTCAGGAAGGCGACGCCCGTTGTCGTGGGCGAACGCGCGTCTACGGCTGCATCGCGCTTGTCAGTGGAGGGAGACCCGCTCCCGGGGTGTGAGGGGGCGATTCTAAACTTATTTTCAGGAGGGATAAGACCTCTCTTGATTTGGTCGGCGCCCCTCAGGTGGAGAGAAAGACTCAAGTTGCCTGAAAGTGAGAGAGATCTTCCTTTCCTGTCAAAGAGTTATCTTCCCTCTTATTTTTCGCCTTTATCCCGGTATATGGGGAAGAAGACCTAGAATTTACTTAGTGGTGTTAGTCAGCCTTTCTCCCCTCCCCCAGCAGTGTCCACCGAGGGAGCCTTGCTTCTCTGCCCCGGAGTCTCCTGGTGTGCCTTGAGCTCTTTACCTTTGCACAATGAAGAGCGTGGTGTTTGGAGTGTGAGGGATGCAAGCTTGTGTGTCCCACTTTCCATCTTTATGACCTTGACTCACTGCTTCACCTTTTTGTCTGTTAGCCCATCTCTTAATTTCGGTCCTCTCTTCATAGAATTGTCCCCAAGACTACAGGAAATTTCGTGTAACTGCTTGGTACACAGTAACCTTTTGGTAAACTGTTGCTATTAGTTACTTAATTTGTTAGAAAAGAAAAGTAGTATCTTCCATAGAGAAACAGATTTTTCCGTGCATGCCTCCTCCCATCCCTCCCCACCGCGCCCCCGCCCCATCACTTCCTCACTAGAGAGGAGGCTTTTTAACCCCCCCAGGGGCAGAGAAAGGCGATTTTGCTCTTTGAGATCCTAAATTAACAAAGCTGTTAGAGTAATCTGGGGAAAAGACTGTTTGGGCAAACAGGTCTGGAAGATCTGATAGGAGAAGCAGCCTTCCCTTTGTCCACGGAAGCTATCAGTCCTTCCCGACTGGTTAGAGCTTCCCTCTTCCACTCCTCGTATTTGCTCTGCTGATGAAAAAGCTTCCCTCTATCTGATCTGCACACCCCTCACCCCCAGAAAGGAGATTCCAACTTCTTTCTCTTGCTCTCCCAAGAAAAATATGACTCTAGACCTTTGAGAGGAGTGCCCTTTCCTGCTGTATCTTTGGAGTGGCACAAATGGTTTCTCTTCTCCCCTCCCTCTGAAAAAAGGATGAAAATCTCTAATGCAGAGTCTCTGTCCGTAGAAATCAGGAGCATTTTCAGTGTTTCACTCCCCCTGCCCCACCCCGGGGGAGATAGAGGGATCCTTTTTCTGAGTGCTGATAATGGGAGGAACAGGGGAGCTGTGCCTGTTGCTCTTGAGATTTCCTGTGCACTCTTCCCATGTGGAAGAGCGAGGCCCTGTTCACTGTATGGACTTCCCTGCTCCACTTTGAGCTTGCCTGGAGAGCTTGTTAAAAGATCCCTCTTCCTCTGACCCTCAAGAAGAGGCCCCTTTTCCAAATTGCCTCAGAGATTGGCTACAGTGTTTGAATCTTTGGAAAAGAAAGGCCCTTTCTCAAGGTGAAAGGCATGTGGGGAACTTCTGAGGTCCGGATCACTATTGTATTGTCCCGACACAAGTGTGGCAGCACCTAGTGTTCTAACTGCTTCATTTCGTTAAGAGCAACCCCTTTGCTTTTGGAATTAAAGAGAAGGGAGACCTTCAGATTTGGGATTGTTGGGGCACATGGCTTTCTGTTCTGCTGTTTTCTTTGTTTGACTCTTTTTTTCTTCTTCTTGTGCTTAGTGCTGTAAACTTTATACCCCCAGAACTTTTGTTTTGGGGGGTGTTTGAATGACTAAAGTAAAAGTTGTCACTTGGTCAGGTTTTTCATATTACTATAATAAAACGTACTCTAATGAGGCTGAGAGCTGCAGTGTTAATCTTTCGCTGGTAGTCTCCCCACCCCCCAGCTTTTGTCATTTGGTGGGATAGGAATTAACACTTCCCAATTGCCTGAAGACATGCTAAAGAACAGCGTTCTGTCCTTTTCGTATGTTAAGTGTTCTTAAATTACCTTCTTTGCCCTTGCAGTGGGGATTAGTCTGAATTCTGTACCACTTTTGTTGGCGTCTGTAGGTGAGCTTTGCCAAAACAAAGTGAAACAGAAAAGTTATTTAGAGTCTTGGGAATTTTATGGGTTAGCAGGACTCTCTGAGATTATTTTGTTTGACTTGTCCATTTTACAAGTGGAAAACAAGCCCAGGAAAGGTCAGTGACACACACTCAAGGCCTTGCTGCTAGTATGTGAGGGGCAGGATAGGGACCCTGGTCTCCCCCCTTGGAGACCAAAACTAGACTGCTTCCTACCCCTGACTCTGCCTTTGAGACAGAAAGACTGGGAGATGATTGTTCTCAATTGAAAAATGATTTCTTCTGTTGGAATAATTGTACTGCCTACTCCCCAAAATATTAGTCTCCCCCCAGCGATAATTCCATCCCCTAAACAATCTAATTCTTATTCGTGTTCATGGTAAAGATGACAAGCCAATAGCAGTAGGAAAGAGTTGTTTGTGAGTCTATGGGTTAGTTTTTCCTTGTACCTCAAACTAGGTAATTATCTGCTGTCGACAACCCAGTAGGTTTCTTTATAAGTCTGTAGTAAGGATTAAGCCATAAATCTCTGTCTACATTTTATAAGCACATGTTATACTCGCACTTTATTTCAAGTATATTTAAAACTTTAATGTAAAAACTTTCATGGTTGAGGGAGAGAGCTAACATTTAAAAAATACTGATAAAAGGGATAATACACTTAACAGTTATTCTTTATTGCTTCATATTTGGATCTTGAGATATAATTTTTAAAAAATTTAACATGTATTACACACTCATTGTAAAAAAAAATGGGGATATGTCATTCATAATCCTGTCACCCATGGTATTATTGTTAATATTTGGCTTATAGTTTTTAAAACATTTTCTCTATATGGATATAGATACATATTTTACCAAAATAAAATAATCCTATTTTTTAATATGGGCTTTCCAGGAGGCACAGTGGTAAATAATCTGCCTGCCAGTGCAGGAGATGCAAGAGACACGGGTTTCGATCCCTGGTTCAGGAAGATCCCCTGGAGGAGGGAATGGCAACCCACTCCAGTATTATTGCCTGGAAAATTCCCTGGACAGGGGAGCCTGGCGAGCTACAGTCCATGGGGCTGCAAAGAGTCAGACGCTACTGACAACAGATAAACACACAATGTTTATCTAGTTTGATAAGACATCCCAGACAGCTTTCTATGGAGAGGTATATTTCTATACCGTCATTTTTTAATTGATCCACTGAATTCAGAAATTTAAAGGACTCATGGTAAAATTTTGTTTCTGCTGTCTTTGTGGCACAACCAAGTATCTTGATAGTTGGAGAAAATGGAAAGGAGAGTTTAGTGACATGAGCTGGTGAGCTAAGAATAATTGTAAACTGCTATTCCAGGCTTGTGTCTAATTACTGCTTCACCTCTGGGGCTTCCCTGGTGGCTCAGATGGTAGAGTCTGCCTGCAGTGTAGGAGACCCAGGTTTGATCCTGGGTAGGGTTGATCCCCAGAGAAGGAAATGGCAACCCACTCCAGTATTCGTGGCTGTAGAATCCCATGGATGGAGGAGCTTGGCAGGCTACAATCCAGTCCATGGGGTTGCAGAGAGAGACACAACTGAGCAACTTCACTCGCTCACCTCTGGGGATTTCAGCTGAGGCGCTCAGCTGTTCATGGTGACTCCACTGCACATACTGCTGAGAAACTTGAGGAAGAGAAGTGCTGCAGAGAAAAAGGTGGGAATGTCTGTTTTGCTTGAATAGCCGATGTGCATTGTTGTTCTACAGGTTGAAAAGTCTTAGAATTCTGTCTCTACCAAACACAGGTATCAAGAGACAGTAGCTTTGTGACATCTGGCTTTTGTATATTGGAAGTCATCTTTTAGTCACCCAGTTTTACAATTCTGTTTCGGTCCACTTCAGTTCACAGCATAGGTGGGGGCATAGGAAAGGTAATAGCAGTTTTTCCTGAGGAATATTTTGAGCCATTCTTTGAGATGATCAGTATTGCCCCTCTGTGATAAAGATGTTTAGTGAGTTTGTGTGTGTTTGTGCATGATCCTGTGTTCAGAACAAAATCTTGAGTTAGGACCATGGGGATGGAACAGTGAGATGTGGTGGAGACACAGCTGGCGTTGGGTGCATGAGTATGAGTGCTAACTACACAGCGTGTGGACAGTCATACAGTTACATTTGGGGATTCACGTCTGAGCTCTAGGGTAATGCGGTGCCATTACTGAGAGAGGCAGCAGGATCAGAAATAAGCTTGTAAGGTTACTGAGAACATCTTAACTCATCCTTGAATCTCACAGCTGTTTGCATGGACAATACTCGATTTTTCACTGGGTTGAGTGTGCTCTATTTTTGGCATGTTAAGTTTGGGGCGGGGGGTGGGGGGCTTCCCTGGTGGCTCAGTGGTAAAGAATCCATCTGCCAATGCAGGAGAGTAAGAAAGACATAGCAACCCACTCCAGTGTTCTTGCCAGGGAAATCCTTTGGACAGAGGAGTCTGAGCAAAGTCCATGGGCTTGCAAAAGAGTTGGACACGAGTTAGCAACTAAACAACAGGTTTTGAGAGGGTGCCATCCTTGTGAATGAAACATAGATCACAACTTGAGAAAAAGTTGGGGCTATGGACAGGTTTCTTTTTTTAAAAAGTCAACTTTATTAAGATATAATTCATATACCATACAATTCACAATGTAAATTGTACAATTCAGTGGTGTTTGGCGTAGTCAGAGTGGTGCAGCCATCACCACAACCAGCTTTAGAATACTTCTGTTGTGCCCAAAAGAAGCACTGTCCATCAGCAGCCACTCCCTGTTTGTCCGCTTCTTCCAAAAGTTGTTCAGTCGCTCAGTCATGTCCATCTCTGCAACCCCATGGACTGCAACACGCCAGTCTCCTGTCCTCCAGCATCTCCTGGATTTTGTTCAAATTCATGTCCACTGAGTTGGTGATGCCGTCCAACCATCTCATCCTCTGTCGTCCCCTTCTCCTCCTGCCTTCAATTTTTCCCAGCGTCAGGGTCTTTTCCAGTGAGTCAGCTCTTCATATCAGGTAGCCGAAGTATTAGAGCTTTGGCTTCAGTCCTTCATCAATATTCATGGTCGATTTCCTTTAGGATTGACTGGTTTGATCTCCTTGCTGTCAAAGGGACTCTAAAGCCTTCTCCAGCACCATAGTTTGAAATAAATAATTCTTTGACGCTCAGTCTTCTTTGTGGTCCAACTCTCACATCCATATGTGAGTACTGGAAAAACATCGCTTCCAGAAGTAGGCGACCACTTACTGGCTCTAGATTTGCCTGCTCTGGACATTTCGTGGAAATGAGATTTTATAACAGTGGTCTTTCATAATGGCTTCTTTTACCTGCATAATGTTTTCAAGGTGCATCCACGTTGTGTCATGAACCAGCACATTGGGTCTTTTCATAGTTGAGTAATACTCCATTGTGGGTGGACGACATTTTGTTGATCATTCATCAGTTGATAGACATTTTGAGTTGTTTCTGCTTTTTGGCCCCTGCGAACAGTGCTGCAGTGAACATCCAAGTTTTTGTGCATTCATGTAGTTTTTGCACATGTTCCTCAGAGTGTAATCGCAGAGTCGTATGGTTACTCTGTGCCTAAAAGGACAGTTTTGAGTCACCCTGTTGGCAGACAAACTGCATGAAAAGGCAAGGGCGTGAAAAAAGTGAAGCCGGGGAAGGCGTGTCCAGGGCTGGATTTGAAAACCCCCACACGATGGCAACTGGGGAGACCCACGGAGCCGTCTCCAGCCACAAGACCATCTTCTGCAGTGGTCTTTCCACTTGTGCGCTCACTCTTTCGGTCTATTTGTGATGTGACAGTCAGAAGCTGGATGGTGTCTGTTGAGGTGAAAGGGAGCTGAACCAAATTAAAATGGAGCACTGCTAGCGTTTTTTGGGAGGGGCCTCAAATAGCAATTCCACTATTATTCCCTTAACCCCACGTATCTACACACACACATTGGCCTAAAATCCAGAGTACCCCTGGAGGTCTCCAGGAGCTAGCGGAGAACAGGGAGACTAGCTCCAGAAAGGAGGCCTTGTCAGCATTCTCTGCGAAGTCTGTGAGCCCTGCTCTGCTCCTGTGCTCACCGGCCTCTCTCTCCTTGTTTCCCTTTTGGAGTTAAGTCTCTTCTTATGTTACCTCAACCTCATGGGTCATCCTCTGCTTTCCTATAATTTCTAGTGTTTAAATGAGTGATGTCACAATGTGTCCTTTGATTTTGAGTAAGGTTCCTTGAGAACACAGAGGCGCTCAGCAGATGAGAGCACAGGGACATGAATAAACTCTGCACCTCAGGTCGGAAAAACCAGGAGAAAGGCAGGATGGCCCACAACAAGGGAACCTATCACCCGCCCCCCACCCCCCTTCCTCGGTCCCAGCTCCAGTCCAGCAGCACAGGTCAGTGGGGGGACCTCCCATCCCCCTGTCGGCAGGGGTGTTCAAGGAGCAGGGTGCTCATTGATGGGGAGGCGGAGCATGTGCCTTTGTGGAAGCCATGTCGGTGGGCTCCCTCAAGGAATTGGGGTACAAACAGAGACAGGGCCTGAAGGCCGCTGGGTCCTACGGAGTTACACTGTGTCTCGGGGAGCCCCCTCCTGCCCAGAAACACAGTTGCGGTCGCTGGAGAGAAGGTGAGACTGCTCATCAGTCAGAGCAGTTCTGTAGTTGGCACTGGGTTTTACTTGACGTAATGCATTTCTTATGGGGAAACGACATTCGGAAGCACTGGGAGTAGCTTTCCAAAACATCCTTTCTGTGTGCATTTCAACCAAAGGGATTGGCTGCCAGTTCCTCTAGTAAATTCTTGTTCTGAATTCGGAGATGCCAAATATTTCTCACCTCTCTGTTCTCCTGTTCAGGGTTAGGGAAAGCATCAAGAATGAAAGCATGCAGTATCTCATTTGGTTAACCATTTCCGCCTTGGTCAGGTCAAGTGGATTTTGTGGTGGAAACTGCACACATTTGGTAGACTAAAATGGAAAAGTCACCAGCCAGGAAACCCTGGTTCTGGGGGTACCGTATCCTATCTCTCTGTGTTTGTTTTGATTACTTTAATAATGTAGTATCATGAACTACTTAAACATACTTATTTTAGCAGATAACCCATGTTTCCGTTGCCCAACAGAAGAAGTGAAACATGACCCCCACATTAGAAGCCCCGGGAGTCCCCTCTCCTCCTTTGCATTAACCATGTAATATTTCAGGCGTGTGTGCTCACTGTCTCCTTCGTGTTCGACTCTCTGTGGCCCCATGGACTGTAGTCCACCAGGCTCCTCTGTCTGTGGATTTCCCAGGCAAGAATACTGGAGTGGGTTGCCATTCCCTTCTCCGGGGGATCTTCCCAACCTAGGATCGAACCCATGTCTCCTGCATTGGCAGGCAGATTCTTTACCATTGAGCCTCCTGGGAAGCACCCAATACTTGCGGCAGGTCACCCTCCCCCTCCTCAGCTTTGGTGTTGGAGCCTACAACAGGAGGACAACGGCTGCCCTGCTCAGCTCACGGGGCTGTCAGGAAAATCACGTGAGCGGTGTCTGGGAAGGCGCTTGGGCAATCTTGAGGTGCTGAGTAGAAGTCAGGAAGGATTCTGCCCCAGAGCTGGTATAGCCCTTTCCAGCTCCAGGCTGTGTGGACACAGTTCAGGGGTTTGGTGACAGTGAAAGAGTGGAATTCTGTTTTCTCGGTGTGTTCTTCCAAAGAAAATTCTTAATGAAGAGAAGTCAGTCAAACAGATTCTGAGTCTCTCAGTGTATGTTAATTCAGAAGATACTTTCTGAGTACCTGCTAGATGTGAGGCAACTATTCCAGGCAGTGGGGCTACAGCACTGAATAAAATGGGCAAGGTTCATGACCTGAAAACAAGTGGAAAACCATCTTTATCTCCTAATTTTAAACATTTCTTTCTTTTTGACCTTGCCTCACAACTTGCAGGGTCTCAGTTTCTAAAGCAGGGATTGAACCCAGTCCCCAGCAGGGAGAGCTTGGTATCCTAACAGCTGGGCCACCAGGGAACTCCCATTTATCTTCTTATTTATTCAGTGCATTGGGTCTATCCTTGAGTGCTTAGACATGTCTTATTCTTATCTACATTTGGTCAGATCTCACTTAAATCCAGCTTTAAATTGAGAATTGTTCACAAGGCAGTCTCTGGATTGAGATTAGACAGACGTCTACTAAAGGTTTAAGGTATTTATTTTTCCTCAAACTCAGTCTGTTAAGCAAATTCCTTGGTGCCAGATAATGCTGGCATTTGAGGTAGAATTTTTGGTGCTTGTTTTAGCCAATTTGAGCTAAGACAGCTTCCTTCTACCCTGCAAGGTTTTAAATTCTTATCCCTTCCTTTGATTTGTGTCAGGGTGAACCATTTGGTGTAAGAGGCTTGACTCCATATCTGCACCTGCCCCCATGCTGTCATCCGGCGTGGAGACCCAGCCTGTTCCACTTGATTCCTCCATGTCTGCTGAGGTGCAGGAATTGTACTCTGAACTCCCAGGGAGTGCCTCCAAAGAGCTTCATGCTGACCCCGAGCCGAGTGCAACTCCAGAGGTAAAACCCGGAGCCTCAAGCTCTCATGTAAGTCAGAGTAGGGCTGCGCCCTTGGAGCTGCAGAGGACTCCTCCGGAAAGTTGTCGTGAAGAAGCCCCCGAAACTTCGGACCATGGGGGTGAGCCTGGGCCATGTGGGCTGGTGGACCCCTCAACAGAAGGTCCCGTGGCTCCTGGGAGCTTGGATAGGGAAGCAAAAGCCGAGAGCCTGGAGCAAAAGGCCTTCAGAGATGGAGGGGACCAGGCAGAGGTGGTGAGAGCCCCCTGTGAGGGAGTGGAAGAAGACCTGCATCAGTGTCCCACAGCCACTGGAGAACAGCTCAGCCCCGGCCAGGTAAGACAGAGACCTTGACTCACTCGGTGTCTCCCCAGCTGGACTGACACTTGCCAAGATAACGTACAGACGCTCACAGGTGGCTTACAGTTCATTCTTGAAACATTTCCCAATGTTGATCTCGATGTTAACTTTCTTTCAGTGATCTTTAAAAATGTGTGTCACATCAGACACTTGAAGAGAGGAAGTGCTTATCTCATGAAAAAAGTGTCAGTCCTTTGTAGCACCTGCTGTGTGTGGACTGTTGAGTCTCTTTGTAACAGTTGTGTGGGGTTTCTGCATCCAGTGTTAAGGAACCATGTGGACTGGTTCCTTGAGTTTTGGTAGCATCATGGTTAGGACAGAGTGAGGTGTCACAGAGGTGCCTGAGGAAGACTGTGGACACAGCAAGGGCTTCACAGGATGGATACCCTCAAGGGGTCTCCATGTTTCGGAAGTCATTTCTAAATTTTGATTGTATTTTTGCTACATCAGAGATGATGATCTGCAAAGAACAGATTCAAGGTAACCCACTTCATGGGAGGCTGAAGCTTAAATCAGAAAGCCCGTTCTTTAATACAGAGTGAGAAGTGGAATCTCTGCTTGGTGTGGCATGAGAAATCCAGTCTGTGAGTTTGATATTAGAGTAAGAGGGATTAGTTAGGTGAGACTAATGGTTAGTTGATCCATGGTATATGGGATCTTCCTGGACCAGGAATCGAACCCATGTCTCCTGCATTTCAGGCAGATTCTTTACCACTGAGGCACCAAGGAAGCCCTGTGCTTGCTCTTTTGTTTGTTTTTCTTGGTGCTGAGCGTCACAGGGATAGATCTGCCAGGTTGAATCTGTTGTGAAAGCTTTAGCCTCAAGATATTCATGCTCAGCTTAGACACTGGAAAAGTTCTGAATCGTCTGCTGGGTGAAACATCCGAGGACTCGGTGTACATCGTCTGACAGATACGTGAAGATATGTGGACAGGGGACATCCAGTAAGGATGCACAGTGGCTGGAGATCACTAGAGGTGTGTGACGCTCTTGAGAAACTTGTTATTTAACGGCATGTTCATAAAAGACCCGATCTCGTGCAATTTCCATGACTTCACTTAAGTGAAAGGCCAGTATGCTGATGGCCAGGTAAGCTTGCTTCATTGTCGCCCCGAGAGTCTGATCCTGAGGAAGCTTCTTCACAGTGTGAAGGAGCTTGCTGTTTGTGTAAAAGAGATCTTGTTGGACAGAACTTGTTTTCAGTGATTAAGGTGAAAAAATCTGAACTTCACACTGTCAGTAGTGAAGCTGAAGGCCTGAAGCTCTCCTCCAGATCAGCCAGGACACAGTGACCCCCACACGCCTGTGGTTCTCGGCTCATGTTGTTAAAAGTATGACAGAGCAGTGCCTGAGGCACCATGTGATTATTGCCAGGCCTTAAGGTAGAACTAGGGCTTCCTCAATGGCTCAGTGGTGAAGAGTGCGCCTATAGTGCAGGAGATTAGGGTTTGATCCCTGGGTTGGGAAGATACCGTGGAGGAGGAAATGGCAACCCACTCCAGTATTCGTTCCTGGAAAATCCCATGGACAGAGGAGTCTGACGGGCTACAGTCCAGGGGGTCATAAAGAGCTAGACGTGACTGAGCATGCACACAAGGTAAAACTTTCTCATTATTTTAGCAGTTCTCTTAGGTAAATCCCTGTGGGGGGCTGTCATGAAATGCCTTACCTAGCTTACATAATCGATGCCTTATCTAAAGTTTCTCTGACTTGAGATCCATGGAGGAACATTCCTTGTAAATCCTGTAAAGGTGATTTAGAGTTCCTGTCCCACAGCTCTTCCTCCCCAGTTGTGCAAGTGTAGGTACAGGTCCATCTGGAGACTTCAAGTCTTATTGATTTTCAGTGGTCTTCACTATACACACGTGATCATGGCTGTTTCCATGAGTGTCAAGAAGTATGGAGTATCTTGTTTGCTCCATGTTGTGGCCCCGCTCTTGTGTGTTCCATGTGTCAGCGGTAGTTCTGCCTGAAGCTGGGGCCACCACTGCCTGCAACTCAGGAAGCTCAGTCTTACAGGAGGTCTGCAGTATCTAGGGCTCAAGCCTCAGAGATACATCAGGCCCCAAGGAGCTTGTAACCAGCCTGCTTACAAAAGCCAAAGAGCCCGGTATGTGTTCATTTCCCTCCTAAAGATATTTGTGGGTTTTTTTTTTTTTTCTGGCTCTATACTAACCTTATAGGTATGAACCAGTATTGCATCTTTTCTAGGACTCATAGGCAACTTTTAATAGGAAATGAGATTACAGATGAACAGTAAGAATGGTTTTCAGTACCCTCCTAAAATCTGCCTAGACTGGAGAAGTATGGCAAGTTGGTTTTGGTTGAAAGCAATGGGCAGGAGAGTGACATGTTGGCTGTGGCAGGCTGAGGTGGAAGTTGCTGTCAATTTGACAAATTCCATTATGGTGTGACCTTTCTTCGGGGAAGGCAATGGCACCCCACTCCGGTACTCTTGCCTGGAAAATCCCGTGGACGGAAGATCCTGGTGGGCTGCAGTCCGTGGGGTCGCTACAAGTCAGATATGACTGAGCGACTTCACTTTCCCTTTTCACTTTCATGCATTGGAGAAGGAAATGGCAACCCACTCCAGTGTTCTTGCCTGGAGAATCCCAGGGACGGGGGAGCCTGGTGGGCTGCCATCTCTGGGGTCGCACAGAGTTGGACACAACTGAAGCGACTTAACAGCAGCAGCAACAGTGACCTTTCTTATTTTACGTAGTTTATATAATGCTACAGATTACTGCCGTGATCTCACTTGATTTTGCAAGAGGGATCCACATTAACTTTTATCTTGGAAACAGATTTTGCAAGGAATATTAAGATACTAGTGATCAGCTATGGAGATTTAAAAAAATCTAGATGGTAGAGAGAAATGTTTAGGACTTTACCTCTAGGAACCCTGAAGCTTAAGTACATTTGTTGTTGTTAATCAGTTGCTAAGTCGTGTCTGACTCTTTGCGACCCCATGGACTGCAGCATGCCAGGCTTCCCTGTGCTTCACTGTCTCCCGGAGTTTGCTCAAATTCATGTCCATTGAATCAGTGGTACTGTCTAACCATCTCATCCTCTGCAGCCCGTTCTCCTGCCCTCAATCTTTCTCAGCATCAGGATCTTTTCCAGTGAGTCGGCTCTTTGCATCAGGTGGCCAGAGTTTTGGGACTTGAGCTTCAGCATTAGTCCTTCCAGTGAATATTCGGGGTTGATCTTCTTTAGGATTGACTGGTTTGATCTCCTTGCAAGAATCTTCTCCAGCACCACAGCTCGGAAGCATCAGTTCTTCAACACTCCGCCTTCTTTGGGCTTCCCAGGTGGCTCAGTTGGTAGAGAATCCGTCTGCAATGCAGGAGACACAGATTCAATCCCTGAGTTGGAAAGATCCCCTGGAGCAGGGCATGGCAACCCACTCCAGTATTCTTGCCTGGAGAATCCCACGGACAGAGGAGCCTGGTGGGCTACAGTTCATAGGGTCACAGTCAGATAGAGCTAAAGCGACTAAGCACACACACACAGCCTTCTTTATGGTCCAGCTCTCAACATCTGTACTTGACTACTGGAAAAAACTAGCTGATAAAGAATTATAGGAAAAGAACTTCATGTTTGATAAGTTTTTGCAAGTGTTTATTACATGATGGGCTGGCCTCAGGAGGGTGGTGGAATTACACATAGGATGCTTAGGCTGCTCAGCCATGGCTTGCAAGTTGTCTGTTCTGTGCCCTTATCTGCACTTGGGGCCCAGGCTGGTCAAGCTCCCACCTGATCTGGAGGTCGCCCACCACCCTGCTGGCGGTGCTTGGGTGTCCCTCACATCCAACCTCAGCCTCACCTGGTCATATCTGATAACCCAGATCAGATTTGAAAGTTAAAGCCTTGTAGGGTCCGCAGCCCTTGTGAGGGGAGACTTGCTTTTCCTGACTCAAAACCTTTCGAGAGGTCAGCGAGGCAGAGGGAGAGGGGAGTCTGTCACTCTTGGCCCCCTGTTAGTTTCGTGGCTGCTAACCAGGGAGAGGGGGATGGCCTGAAGTAGTTGGCTTGGGTGTGGGGGTTCCAGCTAGGACCCCTCCTTCGAGCAGCAGGTGTGGAAGAACTGAATTCCCAGCAGCCCCACCAGGGCCCCCTCAGGAGTCACCTGGCGAGATCACCAGAGCCCTTGGGAATCTGAGAGCAGTTGCGTGCTGCCTGCGGGAGGTCCGCTGTCACCCTGCAGAGGCTCTTTAGACCCAGAAGAGCTTAGGGTGGTCACCCCAGATGACACCGGGGTCTGCTGGTCACAGTCCTGTCAGCGTTCTCACAGGAAGGGATGACAAGTGTCTAAGGTATGCTGGGTGGCGAGAGCTTCTGTTCATGGCTCAAACTGCCTGTGGTCCCCATTTATAAAACCAACTGTGAGCTCGCTCTCTGCCCCTCAAAGCTACAGGTGGAAATCCTGAGGCCGGAGCAGAGCTGAGTCTGGGTCCTACCCCCTTGGCTTCTGCTCCAGCACTCGGCCTTGCCTATAGAGTGTTAATCTGAAGAAATATTCTAATGGCATCCAGTCTCACCCCTCAGACACTCAGCCTGAGAACTAGAAGTGTGCAGGGCAGAGTCATTTGGAGTAAGGATCAAGGGTTGCCACAGAAAAAGGTGCTTTCTTAACCTTTCATTTTGAAATAGTTTGAGACTCACAGAGAAGTTGCAGAAGCAATGTAAAGACCTTCATGTGGGTCCCTCACCTGTTAGCTTTTCACCACATTTGCTTTTTTTCCTTTCTGATCTTAATTTGTAGTTGCAGATGTGAGGCCTAAACACTTGACTGTGTATTTACTCGCAAACATTCAGCATTTTGTTAGGTGACTGCAGTACACTAATCAAAATCAAGACATTAACCCTTTTATCGAAAGACCATATTCACACTGGACCAGTTGTCCCACTGATGTCTTTTAGCAAAAGAAAATGTTTTTTTGGTCTAAGAGAAAAATTCAAGATCACTCATGGCATTCATTTGTCATGTCTCTTTCATCTCCTTTAATTTGCAATGTTTCCTCCGCTTGTGACCTCCACACTTGAAGAGTACAGGCCATTTATTTTGTAGCATTTTCCTCAGCTTGAGTTTGTCAGATGTTTCCTCATGATCAGATCGTGGTTGTGCATTTAGGGGGGCAGGAATCCCACAGAAATGATTGGTTCTTCTCCATGCATCCTCTCACAGGCTTGGTGTAGGGGGTGCCTCCTTCCTGGGCGGGGGAACTGCCCGGCCTCTCCACTGTGGAGGTACCATTTTCCCCTTCACAGTCATTGAGTATCTTGTGGGGAGATATTGGAGACGACATAAATATTCTGTTTCTCATTCAGACTTTTAGCCACTAGGTTTAACACCCACTGGTGATTCTCCTTGAGGTAATTATCACCATGATGGTTCCCAAGTGGTGATTTTCTAGTTCCGTCCTTCCTTCCATTATAAGTAAGAGCTTTCTCCTCTCCCCATTTGCAAATAAATTTGACCCAGGATCATGCTAGAATTTGTATGTTTTGGTCAAGTACAGTAACACGTAAGTCTGTGGGAGAGATCTGTTTTAAATTCACGGTCCTCCAAAGCATTCATCTCTGAAGTTGCGCGGAAAAGCAAAGGAACAGCCCTGCTCCCTACATGGCGCTCTGTGCCAGGTCTCCTCTCAGGCCCAGTGACGGCGCTTTCTCCCATTTACCCCTGTGCTTGGGCCTTCTGTTTCCACCACAGAACTTTACTTAGAGGTGAAGTGGTTTTGCTTGTTGTTTTTTTAGATGCTGTAAAAAATTATCAGAAGCTACAGTGACGTCACCATCTGTAGATTTAAGTGAGTGTTGTGTCAGTCAGAATCTTGTGCTTAGCAATTAAATTAGTGTGGGGAAAAATTTTACTCTTTTTTTTTTTTTTAACATCAAAAGATTATTGATGTAGAAGAAAAGCAGTGGTTAGAACTCTACACTTCCGCTGCAGGGGGCATGAGCTGCACCCCTGGTTGGGGGGGTGGGGGGGAGATGTACTAAACCCCTCGTGCCTCAGGGCAAGGCCAAGAGAAAAACCAAAAGATTTTAAAAAAAAAAGAAGAAGACCAAAAAAACCCCCGATATCTCCAGTTAAGGAATTTAGTGCTTCTGTCTGTACGGGAAGATGCAGGAGTCTGAACTCACTGAACTCGTTCCTTTGATGCACACCTTAGCTACCTGAGGCCGGTGTCCTGTGCCTCTCTTCCTGAGGCTCCTTGGGGTGCACCATCAGGTGTGGGTGTGGCTGCAGCAGCTGGCTGCTGGACGGCGGGCATCTGGTTTCTACCCTCGGTTTCCTCAGGGCGACGCTGAAAGTTCAACCTTTCTGTGCACCGAGGCCGGCAGTGATCAAATCTTCGGGACGGGTGAAGTAGGAAAGGGTAGCTTTGCTGCCTTGCCAGGCAGAGGGGGACACAGTGGGTTAATACCCTCAAATCCAAGTGTCCCCACTTGGGGAAGACAGAAGTTTTATAGGAATTGTTCAAAGAGGGTGTGATTAGCTGCTGGACGCCCTTCTGATGGGTTGGTGATGAGGTAAGTAACAGCCCACATCGTCGACCTTTGGGTCCAGCTAGTCTGGGGTCTACATGCAAAAAAAAGGTAGATCTGTGGGCAGATAAAAAGAGGTGGCCCTGAAGGACACTTGATGTGAGCAGCCATCGCTGGCCAGTCAGTTCTGCAGCCAGACCCTGTCCTCACTGGGCTCCACACCCATGTTGCCCCTGCCCATTTCCCTGAAGTCCCTTTTGTCACTTGTCATTGATGGCGCTCCCTCTCATCTCCTCCTCCAGTGAACAGGGATGAAAAGGGAAAGTAGCCCTTCCAGGAAGGTTAAGGAGAATGGTTAGGGCTGGGTGCCCTCCAATTTCCTGATAGTTTCCAGTTAGGTTTTCACTCTATTAAGATCACACTGCACCAGTGTGTTTACTGATTCGGAAGACACAAGGTTTTGTTTGGATCTGTCAGGACCTTGGGAAACTTGACTTTTCAAGCTCATATTCTAGAGGAATGGAAGTTTTACTAATAATATGAACTTGAATTTGCAGCTTCTTTCAGTTCCCAGTCCTTGTGACAACTAGCACATTTCCAAGAGCTGCAGAGAAGCCTCTCAGAGGATCGTTGGCATTGTGAGCTCAGGGTCTCTGGGTCCTCCTTGACCACTGGGTTTTCTTACCGCAGGAGGACCTCCGGATGCAGGCAAGCGAAGAACTTTTATGCATGGGCCTCCCTGAAGATGGTCTGAGGAACAAAGGTATCTGTTTCTCTCACATCCTTTCCTTTTTCCACTTGTTACACCATTTTTGTTCCCACTGAGAACATGAAGATTGTAGGTCTCTGTCTTGCACAAGGGACTGGCTGTAGCAGCTGTCGGTATTACTGCCCATGGACGTGCTCGGGGGCCCCTGGTGTTATCCAACAGTGCCTCTTTTCTGTGACAAGTTTGCTTCCCACTTTTTCTGTAATGAGGCCCCATTGACTATGAGTTGAACCTTAGAGCTAGTGTGGAATCTTCCATTTGACTTTATAAAGCAACACTGCCTTCCAAACGAGTTCACATGGACAGGGCAGGAACCACTGCCTTGCAGGACATCCCACTCTGTTCATCCCATGTCCACTCCCCATCACCTTGAGAGTTTGCCAAGCTCACTTCTGTTACCTCGTTTGCTCCTTAGGTATTGCAGTGGTAAAGAACTCTGCCTGCCAGTGCAGGAGATGCAAGAGAGTCAGGTTTGATCCCTGGGTCGGAAAGATCCCCTGGGGAAGGGAATGGCAAACTGCTCCAGTCTTCTTGCCTGGAGAATCCCGTGGACAGAGGAGCCTGATGGGCTACAGTCCATGGGGTCTCAAAGAGTCAGACATGACTGAACACATACACATATTTGCTCCTCAAAACAATGGTAGGATATGGGCATCGGAGATACTGCCTTCATTGTGATTGATCTTTTGATTGATTAAGGAAGAAACTGAGGCCTAAAAGAGAGTGCTGAGCCAAGATTCTGTGTGTATCTATTATATAAGATTAACTATGTAGAATAATTAGAGCTGCAAAAAAAAAAATACAGCAAATATGTTTAATCACGTGAACCTTTTGTTACTGTGGAACAGTATCAGATTTGATGATGCTTCTTAGCAGCCTGGACAGAAAAGAGGGTGCAGACCATCCCTGTGAGAAAGGACATTTGTCCCAGTTCATCCTCCTGCTTCCTGCTGATGGAGGTTCTCTCTGTGGCTCAGAGGCCTCGCTGTCCTGTGGAGAGTAAAGCTCTGAAGCTGAGGATGGTCATTATCTTCCTGTAATTCACATTTTGGAGGAGTGGAAAGTTGAAAAATGAGCCAGTACCACACCCATTTAAAAGGCAACCAGGAAGCGGTCTAGACATTTGGGGCACTGGATTTTTTTTTTCTTTTTAATTAAGGTATAGCTTATATACAGTGGAATTCACTCGTGTGTGTGTATGTGGACACAAACACATGCAGTTGTGTGATCACAGCTGTACCGACACAATAAAAAAATGGAATATTTCCATCTTGCAGTCTCCTTATCCTCCTTTCCGACCCCTCCAGTCCGTTTTCTTTGTTCGAGATTGTATGTTGGCTGTTATGTGTCCATTGCATTTTCATATGAGTTTTAGGATGTCTGTCAATTTCTGCAAACGTAAGCACCATTTAAACAGTTATCACATGACCACAAATCCAGGATGTTCAGCCAAGGTCATGAAACTCCTATGCTGCTTAAACCTCACAGAACACATTTCACCCTCCAGTGTACCTAACTTGTAACAGCCTCCCTCACTTAATTCCTCATTCTGCTGACATCTGTAACATACCTACCCATCGCGAGGGTCACCATGGGGTGTTCAGTACAGAGTGAGCAGTAAGATCCAATAGCATTTGTTGACGTCACCTGACTGTAGTCATTTATCAGCTCCATAAATATTTACTGAGTGCTGTTATGTACTGGGTATTATGCTAGACAACAGGGAGGTGGAGATACCAAAACAGAGGTGATCCTTCCCTTTGTGGAGCTTATGTTCTAGTGGGCACTAGATCTGTAGGTTGATTTGCATCTTGCTTTGTCTGCACAGTGCAGGCGTCCTGTTACATGCATGCAGCGTATGTACAAGCATATACACATGTTTACCTCTAAGTGAACAGCTTTGGGAGAGGGACAAAAAGTCTTTTGTAGATTAACAGTTTGGGGGAACTTCTTTATACTGCATCCTGTGCCTGGAATTTCAGAGAAGTTCTGGGCAGTAAAACTCCTTTGTGAGTTACATTTACATCTTAGGTATTTTTTGTGTGTGTGTTTTAATGTTTCATAATGAAAAATTTCTCACTGAGAAGTGGAAAGGAGAAAATCCTAAACCCCTGTGAACCTCTCTCTCACCTTCAATTATTACCAATTCATGACCGACCTGTAGGGAGGCAAGCCTTGCAAGTAATTGGGTTCAAGACTGATATTCTACTTACAGATTAATCTCTCTTTCTTAAGGCTTTATGTGTTACTATTCTTTTTCAAAGATAATTTTATTTATTACTTATTTATTTGAGTATTAAGATGGTCATTTTGTAACATAAGCTGTTTTAATGTGAGTCTGCTTTATAAATGCTTTAGAATGGAAGCTCCCTAAGACTGAATTAAGCATATATCTCCCCATTATCGTCATTTGTCCAGCTACGTCAGTGCATTTAAGTAAGTAACATATTTAAAGAAAGGATTTGTTCAGAATAACCTGTTTCTTTCAGGTACTCTTTTGGCTCTCTGTCATATTTTGCAAAGAAGAACAAAGCCAATGGTACTGTAGCACTAACTTTGCAATTCTCTTTCGGAGTTGTTTTTGTTGCGTGATTAAATTTATGAAGGTAGAGCAAATGATTACACATTAATTCAGATTTATTTCTCTTGCACAGAAGAAAATGATGTACAAATCACAGCTGAAACTCTTCTGACATCTACTGAGGAAGTCCAGGTTATAAAGGTCCATGGAACTAAGGCGGACGATAATGAAGGACTCGAGAATGGCCGTGTGAGTCAGGGTCTCTCGGCTGGGTGCCGTGGACCCTCAGAGACAGACAAAATCATGACCAGTGCTGAGGTTTCAGAGTCCAGCACCTTAGTTTCCCTAGAGCCTTTAAACATTGTGGACCCTGGACTAACAGAAGCAACTCCTAAAGAAAAGGAATGTGAAGAAATAAGAACTTATCCTTCTTGGTTGTCATTGTTACCAGGGAACAGTGCCATTTCCAAAGCGGACAGCAGGGAGGAAGAGTTACGTAAATTAAACCTTGTCTGTGAAGCCGACGACAATCACCAACAGGTCCCTGGCCACCATAGTGAGAGACACAGTTCTGCACGTGACAGTCCCAAAGCCACGAGAAAGGTGGTTCTAACAGAACCCTCAGAAGAAAATTCTAAAGTTTCCCATTTCACATCAGGTTTATCTGGTCCAGGATCCAGAACAACGTCCTCAGAAAAGTGTGGACTTGAAGGTGATGGCTTGCCAAAGGGATCCGCTGAAAAGATGCACAATTCCTGTTTGGATGGGAATGGTCAAAGCCAGAACTTGTTTTCTAGAGAAGAACACAAACAGCCTTTGAACCCCAGGAGTGAAAGAGAACTCTTCCTTGTTAATGCCAGGCAACCAGGAGAGGATGCTAGTCGTCACTGTTCTGGAAAAAAAGAGACTACTGTCTTCCCCAAAGAAAATGCCCACGATCACTACTGCCCTCGAGGCAGTCCCCATATAGGCTGCTCCAGTTCCTTCATGCCCAGTTCTTTTACTAAAGCCGTGGAAGGAGTGCTTGAAAAAAATGATTTGAAAATCACTTTAGACGTTCATGGTAGCTTGGCAAATGATGAGGACCACAGAGGAACGTTTGCTGAAATGAGCCATCCAGGCACAGACTCTGAAGGGAGTCATTTTCCCTCCTCAGTGCAGATTGAAGAACCAGAACAGACAACCACTCTAGAGCCCAGTGTGCTGACTGAGAAGACTCACAGTAGAGACTGTGACTCCTTAGTCCGTACCCAGAGAAATCTAGAAGGCAGACCCCAGTTAAATGAAGCCTCGCCTAACAGATTTTTAATTGAAGGGAAATCCCTTGTGAGTTTAACGCCAGAGGACCAGATCAATTCTATAACTGAGATGTCTAAGCTCAAGAAAGACATTACTCCATTACCACCATCCCTAGAACTTGATGACAGGCCTGAATCAGAAATAGCCGTACAAAACGCCCAGGACCACGGTCCACATTTAGGAAAACAGAGCACCTCCTGGGAGGTGGATAAATTTGCTCATGACAACAAACTGGTTATAAACAAAACAGGAAGTGAATGTGTTTTAAATCAAGTGTCCCTTAATTCTCAAACCTACACAAAGTTGCCAACCAACAAAGAGATGCCTGTAGCAGCAAGCGGGGGTTCCCGACAGAGCCAGCGCCCTCCGTCAGAGGATGACACAGGTGTCGCTGCCGGAACCCACCCCATTCCCGTGAAAATAAAGACGAAAGACATCTCTCCACCAAGTGACGGATCCCATGGTGCCTCTTCAAACAGTTCCACCTTAAACAGCAGACTAGAAAGAGAGACCGAAGCAGCCAATTCGGGAGCAGGTAGTCTGCATTCTGGACTTCTCTCAAATAAGAACGAAGTGGCAGCCTTGCCTGTAGAGGTCTCTGTCTGGGAACGTCAGAGTGTTCCGTCTCAGGATCTCTCTAGCTGCCCTTGTGTGAGGAAAAACGTTCCAGAGGAGAGCAGGTGTCCTGCCCATGCTGCCTTGGAGCCCAGCAGAACTACCCTGGGCATCGAGAACTGTCTGTTAACCAAGTATGAAGATACCTTTCAGCATATCCATCACCACCCCCAAGGGAGCGACAGCTCTGTGGAAAGCTGCAGCTGTAGAGAGAATTGTGCATCGGAGGAAAGTGAGCCAGTTGAGGGAGACACTGAAGACAGCCTTCCCGGAGGTGAGGCCAGAGATGAAACGATGGCAGGCACGTTAAACAGTGAAGCTCCAGACCAAACCACCCAACCAAGCAAGGAAGGGCCAGAAGAAAAAGAACAGGACACACCCAAAGAGACTGTGTTTTGTCTACGTGACATTTCTGATCGCGTCGCACAAGAATTCAGCCAACCCACAAACATTCCAAGTCCTGAAAAATTGTTTGGTCAGTGTCCTCCCATGTTCTCCGGTGTTAAGAATGTGAACCAAGCAACTGAAACTCCCAAGCAGGAGGCAGATGATGCCCTCAGCTCCCAGGGTGACCCAGGCAGGCCCAGTGAACGCAGAGGTGAAGGTAACCCAGCTGAGGAGACACTCGGCCGTGACCAGCGAGAGTCGCCCACAGAGCCTGACAGAGAGGCGAGCCACAGCCTGAAGGCTCTACCCGTTGGTTCAGGCAGTAACAGCTCAACATCTGGCAGGGGCCCCACAAAAGGGGGCTGTGGGAGGATTTCTGATTGTGAGGAGCCCACAGATGGGACAGCAGACGTGGTCTCCACAGGCGGTAGTGATGAGCCCTCAGAAGGCATTCTGGAAGGAAGGCTTTCTGGTACTCTCACTGGGGGTGCAAGGCACGCCAGGGCGATGTTGCCGGAAGCCTCAGGGAGTACAGTGTCCCAGAGGGGAGCGCCTGTCGCTGCTTTTGTAGGAATGATTGGCCAGGATTCGGATTTCCAACATGCTGCTTCCTCTGCATCAGACTCTCTCAATATTAAAAAATCATGTGAAGAGAAGGTATGCAGACCCATAGAAGACTGTGAAATGGAAGTGTGTCCAGACCCTTGTGTGCCTGACATAGGGTCTATCGCAGATCATGAACCAGATGTAAGAGTATTGGGTAAAATAAATATGTCTTTCAATTATGTTCATCATAAAGAGCAAGTTAAAGAAGCATCTCTGAGAGAAACACAGGGAACAATTGAAGGATCAAGACTCGAAATAAACCTTCAGCAAGACAAAGAAAATACCATTGGAATTTCTTCAGTAGAGTTAACATCTTCTGGACACCAGAGTGTAGACTCTGTACCCTCAAGAAGCCTGAAATCCATAGAGATAATGCCTTTGCACCCATTGTGTCAAAAAAAATCAGAAACAATTATTAGTAGTGAAGAAACTGACCCCCCAAACCTTTTTAAGCCAATAGACAGTGAAATGCCTTGTGAGAAGAAGAACAACACAGTCCTGACTGAGATGGAGGGAGGAGCAGCCAGGAGTGAGAGTGATCCTAGCAAAGAAGGCAGCACAGCCCTCAGGGCAGTAAGCTCGCCTTTGACGCTAGATGCAGAAACTAAAGTGAAAGGAGAAAACGCTGCAGAGCAGCAGAGGGGGCCATGGGGTCAGCCTCCTGCCGGGCAGGAGTCCGAAGAGATGGCGATCAGGGAAGGTGGTCTCGCTGACAACCCAAGCCAGGTCTCTCAGACCCACCTTAAAGCTCCGAGGATGCGGGGTGACTCGGAGAAACGACCAAGCCAGAAGGTTCTGAGCCACAAGGAAGAGGAGCAGGTACGTCAAAAAGAAGCACACACAATACTGGAACAATGCACAGCATCTCATACGTTGTTGGATGAGGTGCAGGAGGGTGGCAACGACGAGCCCACCTCAGAGACGGAAGTCACCTCAGCAAAGCCGGCCACGGGCGCCTCTGCCGTGGGGCCTCAGAAGCCCACAGACATGAAGGAGGAAGGCTCATGTCACCCTCCGAGAAAGGACATGGAGTCATGCACGTGCCCCCGCCCCCGCACTGCCCCTCGGAGGGCTCGAGACCCCTGCTTCGCCGGGTGTGAGGCCTTCCACGGTGCCTTTGGGAACACTTCTCACCGGAAGGGGGCATTGCCCTTAAAGAAGCAGCCCCCCCGAACCTGCAAGAAAGTTTCCTGCCAGGAGCTGGTCTCTGTGGGAAGGAAAATGAGTAGAATCGCACGTTCTGCTTTCCTAAAGAGCTCCTCTGAGACCATCCCCACGAAAGCACACAGATTTCTCAGTTCCCGTGCCATGTCTGTACCTGCACGCCCAGAGCCCGAAACAGCCCCTGCCAGAAGCCTTGTGAGCCATGTACCAAAGCCGAAGGCCACCCCGGGCCTGCCCTCGGGGGGCCTGAATGTGCGGATGCCTACCAAAGAATTGGCCTTACTCAGCAAGTTATCCATCCTCGCCTCCAGACTGGCCCCCGCTGCCAGGACCCAGAAGCTGCGGTCTCGGCGGTGCTCCTCGGACCTTCTCCCCGTGGCTAAAAGCTACAAGCAGCTCCGATACCGGAGACTCCTGGACGGCTTCTCCTGCAGCACAACGCAGCTGAACCCATGTTTGGCAGCTGGTGACTGGGACAGGAGGCCTAACAGTAAACCCTTGACGCTTTATTCGCTCGAAACTGTCAAAATGAGCTTCATAGATCTGAGCGACAAGATGCCATCGCTGCTGTTCGGTTCTGAAACCTTCCCGGTGTCCTTCCATGTGAAGCTGGGCCCTGAGTGCGTGGCTGAGTCCCCCAGGACTTTCCCCGAGCACTGTGCGCCCGCGAGACTCGCCTTAGGAGAGGCCCGCTGGGGCCGTTCTCCACCTCCCAAGTGGACCTTCTCCTTCTTCCTGGCCCATGGCTGCCCTGGAATGGCCACGTTCAGGGAAGACCCCGGCCTCCACGACCAGGCAGGTGCCCAGCCTCCAGTTCCCCTCCAGGACCGCAGGGCCACTGCCCTAGTCCAGAGCAGAGGGGGCTGTTCCGTCCTCGGCCTCCACACGCTCCTAGCGCTCTGCTCCCCGGGATGCTACCGGATCTGGACGAAGAAACGGAGCTGTGCCAGCCACACGCCTGCCATGCAGAGGCTCTTCATAACCCAGTTAACACAGGGCCTCAAAGGGCTGCGGTCTCCTGCCTCCATAGCTGACAAGGTCTTCAGTTCTCTGCCCTACTCGGTGGGCCGGGTGCTGTCCATCTGGAGCCAGCATGGGCCTTCCGCCTGCCCCTTGGAGATCTCCACCCTTCCGCCCTCTCACAGCAAGCGGCAGTCACCTCTGGGCGCCATGAGCAGGTAAACTCCATGCCCCGTCCTTTGCTTAAGTCCTGTGTTTGCATCCTCCCACTGGGGAGAGGGGAGGGCGCTCCTAAAGCTACAAGGCTCAGTGTCTGTGTCTGCATTGCCTGTTTATTGCCAGATCTCTGCTAAGAAAGTGCAGCAGTAATTCTGAAGTGCGGGCCCCTCGAATTTTCCTGAAGGATCTGGATTTCCTGCAGAACCCTTTATTTGGTACCTTCCTTCATTCTGTTGGTTTAATTCTACGAACCAGTAAATCTTAAATCTCTCCTTTTCTTCTCTTGGCCTTTTCTTGCCAAGAACAAATCGCACTGCATGTTAAAGACTGTAAGCGGTGACTTGTGACTTGTACCTGTGATCTGTTCACAGGTGTTATACTCAGTGTTTGGCATGTAAATGATACAGAAGTACTTTTTAAATTAGTTATGCAGGCAAAACCCAATCTACTTATAAGCTTACCTCTGTTTCTTTCTGGAGCAGAGGAGCTTCAAAGATTGGCATGTACATGTTACAGCTATAGAATTCATAGACTTATATGTGAACTGGGAAGGAGTTCTTGTGGTTTGACTGCTGAGAACAGTTGAAAATAATTCCACCAATATCGTTTGCTTCTAATCTCTCTGCCTTTCCATTTAAGTCAGAATACAGCCCTCCTGTCAGCCCACCTCCATCCCAGTGATGGGCATGTACATGTCATTTCTGTGCCCTGGAGGCAGGTTTTTGTCTCCCTGGTAGATGAACGCTTCTCAGGTCTTCCTTGGGCTCTGACTGAGCATCCTTCCAAACCCACAGGTCCCCACAGCCTTTCCCACCATCCTGCCGCCCTAACCCGTCACTCTTTATTTTTGCTCCACTTCAGCCACACCGTGTTGCCGTCCATGCCTCTTCCAGGCCTGGAAGCTGCTTACAGTGTTGGCGGCAGTCAAATGAGGTGAGGGCTTGTGGAGGGAGGGAGACGTGGGGAGGGGGGGTACTCTAGCTGCCGTGGGTTGAGCTTGGTGCAATTCTGGCCTCTTGTTCTCCTTCTAAGCCTGATCTGCATCTCTCAGGAGCACAGGCAGAGGTTCAGCCTCAGGACTGTGTAACTAAAGTTGTGTGATCAGTTCTATTTACTGAAAAAAAGAAAAAAGTCAAATCAGGAGCCAGCTCATTGTACTGCAAGTCCCCTCGAGATACCTGTCAGGCATTGAACTGATTTCAGTGCCCGGATGCTATTGATCACATCCAAGCAGAATTCGTTTGTTCGGTTCCCTAAATGTCTTCCTGCAAAAACTCCTTTCCTTTTTCACATTTTTTTTCCTTATTCACTGCATCTGCCAAGTTTCCTTATTCCACTCCAGGGAACTGGGTTGACCACATTCTTGTAGTTTATCTCACATGCAGACACAGGTGTGTCCAGAAGCAACATGGGGATAGCCTTATGGGAATGTCACTTAGCTCTTATCTGGATGTTAGGACGAAGGTGCTGACATGGAAGGTGAGCCTGTCCCACGTTTTCTTCTTTGTCTCTCTCCATGGTGCCAGGCTAGAGCCTCCATTCCCTGCCTTGGTACCAAAGTCTCACCTGGTAACAGACTCAGCTGTCAGTAAGCTCCTGTTCTCAGCCTCCGAGTTCCCAGTTCCCGGGTTTGACGAGCTGGATGGTGTGACGGCCGCCTGCCCCCGACCACAGGGCAGCCCTCCAGAACAGAAAGAGGTAAACTCAGTGCCGGTGGGTTCAGGCGGCAGAAGCGCCTCAGATCCCATTACAGGTGCAGACAGCCCCCCGGGTCTCCTTACTGCCACCTTTAGCTTCAGCCCAGTACCGGATGTCACCAGGACAGGGGCTCTTCCGTTGACCACCAAAGGGTGCCTGGGATCTGTTCATCCTCGTTGTTCTCCAGACCCTTTTTTCTTAATGACGCATTTAACAACATTCAGAGAATTGAAGCATAGAGCAGGGGGCTTCTCACATTCAGAGATGAGTGAATGATGCTGTGCTTCAGTTTCTCAGCATCCACTGTCTCCAACAGTTTTAAACTGTATTGATCATCTCAGTATCTGAACTGCACACACAGTAACATGAAGGGGGCAGTTGCTGAAAATGCTGTTGGCAGGAGTGGTTGGGTGGAGCTTTGTCATAAAACTACTTCCTGAAGTCCCCCATACACTGAGGAAGCAATGTGGTGAGTGTCAACAAAGGGGCCTCTGTGTATTTAGAATGACTTACAACCGTACTGTCTTTCTTCTTAAAAATAGGCTGAGCCGGAGAAGAGGCCGAAGAAAGTCTCACAGATTCGCATCCGGAAAACCATTCCTAAGCCAGACCCTAACCTCACACCCATGGGCCTTCCTCGACCCAAAAGGTGAGCACCTTCTCTAACACACGTGGATGCATTTTTCTGGAAATTGTTTAGTATAATATAATGGCCTTTTCAATGATCATATACTCTGAGCTTTTGTTATATCAATACTTCTAGGAATTTATCCAAAGGAATTTATCTCTGTGGCCAGAGATTTGTGCGCAGGGTTCTGGGTTACTTCCTGAGTCTCTATGCCCTGTTCCTCTGTGTTTACAATCCCAGGGCCTCCTCCAGGGGTGCTGGGAAGTCAGCACTGCCATTGTCCCCAGGCTTAGGTGCTGGTGCCAGGGTTCAGTGGCTGAGAGACATGTGTTAAGCCAGAACGTCTGTCCTGGCCCTGGTGGCTCCTATCCCCACAGGTCTCACCCAGCCCCACAGCCCAGACTCATGACATTCTACACACAGAACTGGAATGCAACCCACAGGTTATGAGAGCAGTCTTTTTGTTGTTGTTGTTGTTGTTGTTTTAATTAAGAAAATGCTAGATCCATGTTACGGTAGAGTATAGCCTTTAAAATTTTGAATTCTAAAGATTTTTGTGACAGAGATGATTGCTCATTCCTAAAGAGTGAAGTGGAAAGAAAACGATGATTCCAGATTGTATATTTGACATGATTCGAGTTTGGAGATGATGTGTATTACACAGATGGGCTTCCCAGGTGGCGCTAGTGGTAAAGAATCCACCTGCTACTGCAGGAGACGCAAGAGACCTGGGTTTGATGCCTGGGTCAGGACGATCCCATGGAGAAGGGAATGGCAACCCACTCCAGTATTCTTGCCTGTAAAATTCCATGGATGGAGGAACCTGGTGGGCTGCAATACTTGGGGTCACAGAGTGGACACACCATGTGCATGTGCATGTGCACGCACACACAACACAGTGAAGATACACACATTGTTAAAAGATATCTAGTTACGTTTCCTTTGTGATGGATTTCACTCATTCATTTCTCATTGGCAAATGGAAGCCTGTGCCCCTTGACTAACCCAAAGTAAGTTATTTCACCCTCCTGAACATCAAGGACTTACCTGTAGAAACTAAATAAGAATTCCCAATATTTAAAATTGTGCAGTCCAGTTGAGAAAAAAAGGTATCTATTTTATTGCTTCACACAGCACAGATGTCACAGTTAACTGTTCCTATGATCGACATTCCACTTTTCCCACTTGGTTTTATCTTAATGTGTTGTATCCTACAGTTCTTTTATTGATCATCCTACGATGTCTTTTCAAGAGAAATTTTTAAAGTATTTCAGATATCCTGTGTTGAGTACTACTTTTTACTAGAATAAAATAGGGTTCAGAATCATGGTATTCTACCTTGAATTTTTTGGTGGATATAAGTTCTAGAAAACCTTATTCACCTTATACAGATAAGTAGTGGGAGTGGAGAGAGTTTTAATGGAACAATGGCATTCAACCCTTTCAAGTTCTCTCAAGTAACATTAAAAAAATCTCAGTGATCTATCATCAAATTATATTGAATGGTTTATCACTTAATTTTTTTTTGAAAGCAAAGAATTGAAAAGTGCTGACTCCCTTGGGTTCTGTCACCCAGGCTTTGCAGGTAGGCATTGTCTCGGTTTGTGGGATGTGACCCAGGAGGATCTGACCAGTGTCAGATGGCTAACAAATTACATGCTACTTTGGCACTTAGAGGTACTTTATTTAATCCTATATAATGAGTAAGGTTGAAAACTAAGATCTTCAATAAGTCTTTACCAAAGACATTTTGATTAAGATGATTTTATTTACTTCAAGTACACTTTTGTGTCTTGAAGATGCTGATTTAGTGCCTTAAACTTAGGGAAAATTTTTGACATGTAACTTGATTAGCAAAGGCATATTTTATTTTTCAAGCCCATCAGCCAGATCATTCTTACTTCTTTTCTGTTTTCCAATTCAAATGTAGTCGTTCCTTAGTATCCTCGGGGAAGTAATCATGGATGCCCAAGTCTCTTATATAAAATGGCATAGTGCCACAAAGACAGTCTCCCCTCCATGTCAAGGGCTATGAAACAATAAGTGTGTTAATATTCACATTCAAGAGAACCATACAGACCATTGAGAAATAAACTATGGAACATATCTTATAGATTTCTAAAAGTCGTAAGACAGTTTAAATTTATGTATAAGAATTTCCTGTTATTGAATTTATAATAAAGCAATGTGATTTGTAGCTAAAATAATAAATTACGAAGAGAGGAGTACATAAGAAAGCATGATATTGCTTCAGTACATGTGTGCACATGCACCAATCAAACTGTGATTAGACTTTTAGGAATAATTAATCGTGGGGGAAAAAAAGAGATCCATTAATTAATATAAAATCTCATGATCGCTTCAATGTAGGGTACAAGTGTATCACTGCAAACCGACTGTCATGGCAGCTCATCATATAATTTTTGTTGTTAACAGGAAGTAGAAGTTGTATTTTATAAGATGAAGATTGAATAATTGACTTAAATGTTTCTATATAAGATTTGATTAAAGTTCTTCTAAGTTTTATATACTTTATCTTCAAAAGTTTGATAGTCCTAGTAAACATTTCACTTTTTTTTTAAAGAAGAAGAATCAACTATTAAGTCCAGCTTTTCTAAGTGATAACAGACTGAGTGTTGAGAATAGTTTGAAAAAGACATTATGTACCGTTAAGCTATTTTTGGTGTTTGAAGCTCTCCTTCTTAAATAGGCGTTGTCTGATGATAGTCAGGAGGAGAATGAATGAAACAAAGTCCCTCTGAGAGCTCCATTCCACACTGAATCTGAAACCCAGATATCCTTATACCAGGCCAAGTCTTCTCTCAATAAAGCCACTTCATGGAACCTTGAGTGAAGTGGGGAGAGACACATCCAAGATAAGTTTACGGTGACTTCATTAATCTCTAAAGAGGGGTTGGTGAGATCATTGATTTGATTCTGATACTAAGGTAGAATTCAGGGTGGATGGGGCTATTCAGAAAGAATTTGTGGGAGGTTATGCATGAGCGTATGGACACTTCTGGATGAGTCATGAGCAGGAGATTAGAGTTCAGGAGGTTGCTTACGCTTGGAGCTGAGTTCCCGTGTGCTCTCTTGAAAGTCTTTCAGTATGCTGGTATGGGGACCCCTGGTCTAGCAGAGCCTTAGGGGTTTTACCTTAGTATCACATATCAGTCTGAGTCCATTCAGGAGATGGAAACCACATGGTATGTTAAACAGGGCAAGTTTAATATTAAAGTGTTAAACTATTAATATAACAGAAGAGTAACCATAGAGGTGTACAGAGAGTTTTCTCTAGTTGCGGGGAGCTACTCTTGGTTGCAGAGGGCAGGCTTCTCAGTGTGCTGGCTTTTCTGCTTGTGGAGCTCGAGCTCTGGGCTTCAGGAGTTGCAACACATTGGCTTAGTTGCTCTGCGCCATGTAGGATCTTCCCGGACCAGGGATCGAACCTGTGCTTCCTGCATTGGCGAGCGATTCTTTATTACTGAGCCACCAGGGAAGTGCCCTGTACAGAGAATTCTGAAGGGCATCTTAGGGCCCTCCCCACAACTGGAGTCTGACTTTGTTGCAGAAGGTATGGTTGCAGCCATCAGATGGCTGGGTTGCTAACACTGGAGCTGGATGAGCAGGAAACAGCAGCAGCCTTATGGGACACGAGATGAGGCTGGAGGGCTGCACTCAGGGTGTTGGGGTGCTGCTGCAGTTGCATGGCCTGCAGTGGGGGATGTTTGCTCCAGGGGAGTCACAGGAAGTGACCCCCAGGAAGCTGGGGTCCCACCGTGGGCTTCTGTCCCTAAATGCCTTATCTGTGGTGTGGTAGTCACCAAACTAGTGCTGCAGGGGTCCTCGGGGGCTACACACTCTGGCTGTTCAGCTAGTGCTGAGCCCCTCCAAGTGTCCCCATCTGACCTCACCCCAGATACCCCAATACACAAACACCCACGATGGATCATGTGGCAGGAACAAGGAAAAAAGCTCCGTTCCTCCTCCAGTGTTCCTCTAGTGCCTTCTTTTGCCAAAGTCCAGCACTGTACTCACTGTGGAAAAGAAATGTGTAAGGAGGCCAAGATTCCATTATCACAGAGCAGGTACTGAGAGCACGTTCTGAGCTGAGAAGCAGTAATTTAGTAACTGGTACATTCCAGTAAACAAAATTTAAAGCAAATACACTTGACCAAGCTCTGTAGTTTTAGGAAGAGATATGAATGAACGGAAAGCCATGTATTTAATGTAGGTACAGAACTAAAGCAAGAATAGCCTGGAAAATTCAGCAAACAAGTGAGAAGAGTCTTGGGACTTCCTTGGTGATCCAGTGGTAAAGAATCTGCTGCCAATGCTTGGGACATGGGCTCGATCTCTGGTCCAGCAAGATTCTACTTACTGTGGAGCAACTAAGCCTGCAAAATGCAACTGCTGAAGCTTGCATATCCTACAGCTTGCATACCACAGCTACTAAGTATGAGTACCTGGAGCCTGTGCTCTGCAATAAGAAGCCACTGAAATGAGAAGCCCATGCAACACAATGGAGAGTAGCCCTCACTCGCTGCAACTGGAGAAAGCCCAAGGAAGACCCAGCCCAGCCAAAAATAAGTAAATTAAAACAAAAAGAATGTAGTCTTAAGAGATCTTAAAATATATTGTAAAATCTCAGCAATTTAAACAACATGATGCCAGGACTTCCCTGGTAGCCCAGTGGATAAGAGTCTGCCTGCTAACACAGGGGAGGTGGATTCAATCTCTGATCCAGAAAGATCCCACATAGTGTGGAGCAGCTAAGCCCATTTGCCACAGCTACTGACCCCACGCTTTAGAGCCTGCAAGCCGTAACTACTGAAGCCCACGTGCCCTGGAGCCCATGCTCCACAAAAGAAGCCACCGCAATGAGAAGCCTGCGCACTGCAACGAAGAGTAGCCCCCACTCACTGCCATTAGAGAAAGCCCAAGTGCATCAGCGAAGACCCAGCACAACTAACAGTAAAGCAGTGTATATGGTAAAGAATCAGCCTGCATGTTGATGTATAGCAGAAACCAACACAATATTGTAAAGCAATTATCCTTCAACTAAAAATAAATTAAAAAAAAAAAAGAATCTGCCTGCCAATGTAGGAAATGTAAGGGACCAGGATTCAATCCCTGGGTCAGAAAGATCCCCTGGAGTAGAAAATGGCAACACCCACTCCAATGTTCTTGCCTGGAAAATTCCACAGACAGAGGAGCCTGGTGGACTACAGTCCATGGGGTCACAAAAGAGTCAGATGTGACTGAATGACTAAACACATGTATATGTCAAAAAAAATAAATAAATATGGCAGTGTGAAGAAGAACAAAATGATATGATGCCACAGGATTAATATACAGGCTTGTAAAACAAAAACGGGAGTCCATAAATAGACACAAACACATAGAGAAATTCAATATGTAACAAAGGTGTCCCCTCAGATCAGTGATATAAAGATGGGCTGATCATTAAAGTGCTACTGGGACAGCTGAGCAGCCATTCTAAGAATAATAAAGCTGGGTCTCTATCTTAGACCTTTCACCAGAATATATTTAAGTCTGATTTCACATGAAATCAGACTTAAATGTAAAAAAAGAATACTTGAAGAAACCATAGGAAATGGTTAACTATAACAAAATTCAGAGTCATAAAATAAAAATTTGAATAATCTATTTCATAAAAATCTATCTTTCCTGCTGGGGAAAAAAGAAAGAAACTATAAACAAAGACAACACAAACTCGTATATACAGAGGAATATTAGCCATAAAAAGGAAGACATTTGAGTCAGTTCTGATGAGGTGGATGAACCTAGAGTCTATCATACAGAGTGAAGTAAGTCAGAAAGAGAAAAACAAATATCGCATTTTAACACATATATATGGAATCTAGAAAGATTGTACTGATGAACCTATTTGCAGGGCAGCATTGGAGACAAAGGCATAGATAACAGACGACATGGCAGGGAGGAGAGTTCAGAGTTCCAAAGACAGAAAGGTAATCTTAAAAGAAGCCAGGAAACTTTGTAAATGTAGACACCAAAATCTTCAAATACTAGCAAACTGAATCCAGTAACATATTTGAAAAAATGATTATACCCATGACCAAGTGGCTTTTATCCCAGGAATGCAAAGTTAGGTGAACATAGGAAATCAATCCATGTAGTATGCCATATTAATAGAATAAGGGAGATTTAATTAACAGAATAAAGAGATAACATGGTTATCTCATTAGATGCATAATTACAAAATCAAAAGGCAGAGTAGAACACTGCTAACATATAAATTGGGACAGTATTGATTAGACTTAGAACTTCCAGGGACCTTGTGTTGTTTGAGAGAAGGGTGAAAATCTTACTGTACTTCAGTTTCTAAGTTAAATATGCTAATCAAAATTCTTGCCAACCGCTAAAAGAAAAGAAGATGTATAATTTTCAAGCCAGGATGGGAGGATAAAGAGAGCAGTCCGTCAAAGAGAAGAAACATTGAAAAAGTAGGGCAAAAAAGAAGCTGTAAGCTAAGATAATAGGTAGAGATCCAGTTATATCCCTCCCAGTAAGTATAACTGAACTGAATCTCACAAAGTCTTAAGATCAGCAGCATGAAAAGGAAGATCCAGGATTCATGGTTCACATGAGACATATTGAGAACTCTTGAAAAGTAAACGACTGGAAAGGATAAAGTTGGGAAACCAATCCCGTTCCTCTTAGGAGACCATGAAGGGACTTCCCTGGTGGTCCAGTGGCTAAGACTCCAAGCTCTCAGTGCAGGGGGCCTGGGACTGAGCTGGCTTCCACGTGCCACAACTAACCAGCAGAGCCAAATAAATAAATCTGTCTTCTTAAAAGTGAGATCATGAAGAATTTATATTTCTTTTTCTTTTCAGGTTAAAGAAAAAAGAGTTTAGTTTAGAAGAAATATATACCAACAAGAATTATAAATCTCCTCCTGCAAACAGGTAGGTACACACAAGTAGGAAATAATAGATTGGGAGGGCTTCCGAAACGATCGACATAAATCTCCAGTCTTCCTTTTGGAAAGGGTTTTATGTTCAGTTCTTCCAATACCAGATCTCAAAAATAACTAGTGTTCACTTGAGTTGGAGTCGGTAGTAGGACAGGAAAGAAATGTGTGTCAGATTGGGTATCCTCTTTTCGTCTGTACTTGGATCTTCAAGACTAAGAATCATTGATCTTCAGATTTGACTCCATACCCAAATACAGAAGGCATTTCACTTACTTGGCTTTGTTTGGGTCTAAATTCTGTTCAAATCATTGAACGTTTATTGCATTCCTGTGGTGTCTAGGATGAAGGAGGAGAGTTTTATCCTGTAAGATAGGATGAGCATTTGCTCTGAAGCCTTTGTCATATAATGTTATTCATTGCGACATCACTAAATATTGGATTGGCACAAAAAGTTCTTTTAAATTTTTCCATAAGATCTTACAAACCTGCACAGACTTGTTGGCCAACCAAATAATAGGAGAGGGTTGGAAACAACTTTAAAAATACCCATTACTAGAGTTCTGACTAAATTATTATCCATCCTGACTGTGGGTTTCACTGCACAGCCATTTAAAATGGGATCCCTGCATACCCAGCTGGGGCACCTTTAAAGGTTATTGCTCATCAGAGCGGCACAGTGCACAGGATAGCCTATGGTCTGCTACCCCTTGAGTAAAGAGGAACCCAGACTGTTGGATGGATGGTGCCGTGGGTCGGCAAACTACAGGCCAGGTTCAGCCAGCCACCTGTTTTCTTTCTTTTTTTCCAGTCCTGTGAGCTAAGAATGACCTCTGTTCTTTCAAAGGACTGTTTAAAAAGTGAAAATATGTAGCAGAGACCCAAGTCACTCATCAGTTCTTAAAATGTTTGCTACCCAGCCCTTCACACAGCAGGGCTGACCTCTGCTGATGCATGCTTACCTGTGCAAATCTGTACATTGAATGACTTTGGGAGGACGCACGAAACACTGTTGCTAGTGGGGTGGGGGTGTTTTACTTTTATTCTTTACCATCCTATCCAATTTCCGTTTCTTCACTATGTGCTTGTATTCAGTTCAGCTCAGTCGCTCAGTCGTGTCCAACTGTTTGCGACCGCATGAACTGCAGCACACCAGGCTTCCGTGTCCATCACCAACTCCTGGAGCTTGCTCAAACTCATGTCCATTGAGTCAGTGATGCCATCCAACCATCTCATCCTCTGTCGTCCCCTTCTCCTCCTGCCTTCAATCTTTCCCAGCATCAGGATCTTTTCCAATGAGTCAGCTCTTCACTTCAGGTGGCCAAAGTATTAGAGTTTCAGTTTCAGCATCAGTCCTTCCAATGAATATTCAGGGTTGATTTCCTTTAGGATTGACTGGTTTGATCTCCTTGTATTCCGAGGAACTCTCAAGAGTCTTCTCCAACACCACAGTGTGGAAGCAGCCATTCTTCAGCATTTAGCCTTCTTTATGGTCCAACTCTGACATCCATACATGACTACTGGAAAAACCATAGCTTTGACTAGATGGACCTTTGTCAGCAAAGTAATGTCTCTGCTTTTTAATATGCTGTCTATGTTTGTCATAGCTTTTCTCCAAGGACCAAGCGTCTTTTAATTTTCATGGCTGCAGTCACCATCTGCAGTGATTTTGGAGCCCAAAAATATAAAGTCTATCACTGTTTCCATTGTTTCCCCATCTATTTGCCCTGAAGTGATGGGACTGGATGCCATGATTTTAATTTTTTGAATATTGAATTTTAAGCCACCTTTCTCACTTTACTGTTTCATCAAAAGGCTCTTTAGTTCTTCTTCACTTTCTGCCGTAAGGGTGGTGTCATCTGCATATCTGAGGTTATTGATATTTCTTCTGTTCCAGCTTGTGCTTCATGCAGCCTGGCTTTTTACATGAGGTACTCTGCATATAAGTTAAATAAGCAGGGTGACAATATACAGCCTTGACGTACTCCTTTCACAATTTGGAACCAGTCTGTTGTTCCATGTTCAGTTCCTTCCAACTGTTGCTTCTTGACCTACATACAGATTTCTCAGGAGGCAGGTAAGGTGGTCTGGTATTCCCATCTCTTTCAGAATTTCCCAGTTTATTGTGATCCACACAGTTAAAGGCTTTGGCATAGTCAATAAAGCAGAGGTAGATGTTTTTCTGGGATTCTCTTGCTTTTTCTGTGATTCAAAGGATGTTGGCAATTTGATCTCTTGTTCCTCTGCCTTTTCAAAATGCAGCTTGAACATCTGGAAGTTCATGGTTCATGTACTGTTGAAGCCTGGCTTGGCGAATTTTGAGCTTTACTTTGCTAGCGTGTGAGATGAGTGCAATTGTGCAGTAGTTTGAACACTCTTTGGCATTGCCTTTCTTTGGGATTGGAACGAAAACTGACCTTTTCCAGTCCTGTGGCCACTGTTGAGTTTTCCAAATTGCTAGTATTACATATTCAAAGTGCCTGTATTACATATTCATATTTGTCATAAAAAAATTAAAGCTGCAGACCAGAGACAGGAGCTGAGTCAGGAGCAGTGAGCCTTCAGCACAGACGGGGAGGGTCGGTGGCCCCCCAGGTCTGCGTGTCAGTGACCCTGTCTTGTACTTCACCTTTAGGTGTTTAGAGACCATTTTCGAGGAGCCTAAGGAACGAAACGGTACGCTCATCTCCATCAGCCAACAGAAGAGGAAGCGGGTCCTGGAGTTTCAGGATTTCACAGTCCCTCGGAAGAGGCGTGCACGTGGAAAGGTCAAGATAGCGGGCAGCTTTACGCGGGCCCAGAAGGCGGCCCTGCAGAGCCGGGAGCTGGACGCGCTCTTGATACAGAAACTGATGGAACTGGAGACCTTCTTTGCCAAGGAAGAAGAGGAGCAGGAGCAGCCGTCCTGCTGCTGAGTGGTGATTCAGGTTGGGGGTCTCGACTTCAGACTTTTCTTGGCCTCCTTGGAAGAGGTTGCCTGATTCTGCCCTCCCGCCTAAACCCCTCAGAGCGCAGGCTGTGGATTTTTACCTCCTTCCGGGTGCAGCTTCTGTAGGAGCTGGTGCAGGAGGGCCCTCTAGCTTGTACTGCTGAGCAAAGAACCTCAGGAATGCTCCCTTTTTCTTGGAAATGGTCCCGGATGACGCCGGCCTCCTCGCCCCATTCTCTGCCATCCATGGAGGGGCACATGGCACCCCTTCAACAACACTAGGTTTCAGCGACTCACAGCATTTGCACGTCCATGTGAAAGTCCCACATCGTTTACGGTGGTGCTAGACCAAGATCATTCAGACATGTGGCCTAGGGAGAGAGACCTGGCGTCCTGTCCCGTGAGGTCTCACTGGCTCACTTCAGTAGCTGAGGAAAGATGAGCTGTTGTGTTTTCTAATCCTTTGAGTCTGTCTGTTCAGAACCAGGAGTGTGTGTGTGTGTGTGTGTGTGTGTGTGTGTGGCTTTTCCCTATTGTCTTCTCCCCTCTGTGACTGTGGGTCACTAGTGCCAGAGGAGCCCGTCCAGGGCCCATTTGAAGTAAGTTGCACTTTTTAATGTTGTGGTGTTGATTATTTTCATTTGTTTTATTTCCCTCTTTTTTTTTTTTTTAATTTTTGCTGCATGTTTCGAGCCTTTAAATGTGATTTTAAAACTAATTTTTTAAGACATCAAGGAGAAAGACAATACACATCTCCAGAACACACGACAGGCATTTGCCCCGGTTTGTTGGTGGGTAGCCAAGAGCCTTTCCCCATCAGTGCGTTTTGGCAGCCTCTTCCCCACATGCAACTCGAGGAATGACTATTGTCTCATCTGGGTTCTCATTCTTGCCCACTAACTAGATGTATTTATCGTAATGATGAAAGTAAGAGCAGGTTTCTCTCCCGGTCATTTAACAAGTTGGAAGGTTGGGTGTGGTCTCAGTGGGTTTCATCTGAAGTGGTGTCCGTGACAAAGGTCCACAGCTGCCCTGGTGGTGACAAACGCCAACCCAGAGTGTCCACAGCTGCCAATCCAGGGGGGAGGAGGGGTCAGCCGAGGTCATGAAGTTCATGGGCAGCCCCCTCAGAGGGCACCTCGCTGTCCTCTGGGCTCCTGCGTCAGTCCTGGAAGTCTGGAGGAATGTCAGGCAGGTCTCTCGGCTGCTCTGGGTGCACCTGAGGGAGTCTGCGGGCAGGGGAGCAGGGGCTGCTGTGTGACGCCCCGGCCCAGAGGTTTCATTCCTTTCCCGCATCAGGCCTGTGTGCCCTCACCTGCTTCCCCTCTTCCCCTTCCCTTGTGTTTTATCTTGTTTTCTCATCTCTGTCTCTGAAAACAAGAGTGCAGAGAATTAACATTCCTTGGCTGGTGAGCAGGATACTAAAAACCTAGCCTCAGAGCACTGGTCGCCTCCTCCATCCTCCTACGGGGAGCAGCGCCGGCCAGCGGGCACTGTCAGATCTCCAGGGGTGTTTCCGAGTCAGCCCGTGAGAGGATTGAGTGGTCCCATCCTGGCTCCTGTCTCCTGGGCTCCTGTTGTCTCCCCGTGTGTCAGCTGGCAGGGAGATGGAGTGGGGGGTGGGGGTCTCTATGTGCCTTTCCTCTGCAGGTTGACAGTCTGTGCCACACTGGAGCAGAAAAACTGGCAGTGTGAGAAAAGTGCCACGTCTGTCTCGTAGGCCCACTGCCTCAGGCAGGGCTTTCAGTAACCGAAGTACCCACCTGCTGACCCACGGAGGCTTCTCAGGCCATGGCCACAGCGCTTCGGAGGAGAGCCAGGCATTCACGCCTTCTGTGGACAGTGCAGACCAGATGCTGCCCCGTGCATCCCCTTTGCTCAGACTGTGTAGACATGACCTGTGTGTCGCCTCAGTACCTCTCCCGTCCTGGGACAAGGTCCTCAGACACAAGTGCTTCTGTCCATCTTTTTGCTCAAGGGAGTAGGGATGAGTTTGTGCCCACATACGAACATTTTTAGGGCACTCCCGGTGGACAAACTCCCAGCTGTTCGCCAGCTCCGTCGTCAGTGTAGATGAGTCCACCATGTGGCAAACGTGGCAGACTGAAGTGGGTGCAGCTGCGGTTTCACCAGCTTTCTGGAGATCCAATTTCAAGTCTGCCCGTTGCAGGCATGGCACCTGTCAGGGCTGGGAGCGAGGTTTGGAGCCTCAGTGTCTGGAGGGGAGGCCTGGATGAGGTGGGACCCAGGTTCCTTCCTGTCCTGGGAGTGTAGGAAGTAGCTTCTCTGAGGCCAGCCTCCCCTTGTAATTTTTGGCCTGCCTCTGGCCGAGGCCCCGCCTCATTCCACAGTTAAGAAGGGGCCCCCACTGCAGACTTGAAGCTGCTTGCCTGAAGTCCATGTCAGGCTTTAGCTGCGTTCAGCCGCACCTGTCTTAACGTCTAGCAGCTGCAGCGCTGTCTGTGGCCCTAGAAGCTGTGCCACCTGCCACCAGTTGGCTGCTGGCGCCACCTGCCCAGAGCCTTGGGAGGTCTGGTTCTGCGCTGGGAGTTAGTAGCTTCCAAGGATGGGGACTTCCCACCCCACGAGATTTAGTGATTTTAATATGGGAAAGAGAGGAGAAATCTCAGGTCCAATCAGCGGTTCTGCCCGTCGGCTTTTCACTGACCCCTCAGCTATGGTTTTCTCCCTGTGTCGGTTTCTGGCAGTATTGGCTGCCCTCCCCCTTTTTCTCCTGGTTTCCTTTGCAGCTTCCTTTATCAGTTTAAATGTACCTCATCACCCATTCAAGCAGATTATGTCCACTTTTTCTCACTGACCTTACTCTTAAGAGCTACAGCCAAGGAGCGTGCAGTGCAGAGACATGTAGCGTTTGCCTTACTTGGAGCCCGAAAAGAGCTCAGAAACTCATGCTGTGAATCTGGAACTCGGCACTCCCCCTGGAGCTGTGAAAATCAGACACTTTGTCACAATTTTGCCTGGAAGGGCCTTACTTTGGGCGCCAGAGCCAACCTGAGGTGGACTGCAGATCCCACCTTCTGGGCTCGGTCCTCCCCCCGGGGAGCTGGCTCCCTGCCTGCAGGCCGAGGGCGGCACGGAGTGTCCAGGGCAGGGTCACCGATCCAAGGCTCTTGCAGCTGGTGGAACGCAGAGCCAGCACTCGTCTCCAAGGCTAGGATTTCATCTCATAGTGTACGTAGAGATCGGCAAAAGACCAACTTGTAGGTGGTGGTACTTTCCCCCATTCCCTGGGGGCAGAGTATGCAGTCGGTGCTTTCCTTAATTCCCTTGTGTTCTGTGTTCTGTGCGTGTCCCCCGACCCCAGTATCATGGAAAGGACCTCTGAGACACAACATTGTGGGTGGCTGTCCTCAAAGTCTGTAAGTGGTTGGTCAGAGGCTCGGAGCACCCTACCCTGGATTCGTGCACGGGGAGGGCTCCTTGCTGTAACCAAACTTCCTGTATCAAAAGCTGGCCAGGAAGAAGGCTTCATTTTACTAAAATCAAAGTGTGATACTATCACCTAGCCACACACTGAGCAGCAGAGGCTGTTTATTCTGATTGTGAAGCAAGGGTCCCTGCATAGTCTGCCCTCTAGCACCGCACCCTGTCAGATGGGACGCTTGTACATCGTGTGTCTTCACGAGCCCCTCTCTGGTGCTGAATTGGATTTTAATCCTTGGCGAGAGGCCTCAGCATCTCCTTGGGCTGGTCTGGGCCAGTAAATAGCCGCCTGAAGTGTTTATATAATTATCATGGTCAATAGTTCAGTGAAATTTGTACATTTTTGGTAACATTGGCACACACAATGCCCCTGCAGTTCCTTTTCTGTTCGGTAGTTTGTGACTAAAAATCCCACTGTTATGTGTGTTAATTTATGAAAATAAAAAGATTCTTTTTTTTTTTTTTTTCGAAAACCTTTCAAATAACTCTCAAGGCTATTGTTCTTTTGGCTTCATAAGTTAAATTTTTACCTGTAATGAGGTTGCTGTTGTTTTTTAATAGACATTCCAAAGTTATATATATATCACAACAAACATGTTCCTTCCCACAGTGGTGACCATTTTCTGAGGCCCAATGCTCAGGACACATGTAGAGTTCCACCTGTGGGTGGCCTTCTGAGCCAGTTGTGCAGCATTTTAAGTTTACTCGGGTGGTGAATCATTTTGAGGGCCATCTGTATCTGGAAACAGCTAAGACTCCTTGAGATTCGAGTCACACCCAATTAAGTTGGGTAGGGAAGCCAACCACACAGTGTTTTAGGTGTGATTTTTGAATAGTGCTAGATTTGTCACATGGCTGGGAAATGAAAAAAGCAGTAACAAATTCAGGTCAAAATAAACATCAAATATTAGCAAGATGTCTGAGAGCTGAGGAGGCTACCTGGGAGAGTATAAATATGGTGGAGCACATTCACTTACTTTTAAAAAGGCTTTAAAACAATAAAATGAAGAAAAGGTCTTGCCTTCTATCATATCCTTCCCACCTGTACGTGAGATTAGGCTGCGAGTCTAATGATTCTCAACTCTGTAATTAACCAGTGGAAACGAGTGGGAGAATGACTGAATACAAGGCTATTTACCATCACGTTCCAGAAAGAAGCACAATTCTGAGGATATTCTTTGTCCCGGGAAAAGCAGCACCCAAGTCTCTCTTCCTGGCCTTTTTCCAATTCCTGGATTTCTGCAGCAAAGACCTCTGTCCGTGTGATCTGTCACCTTTGGGGAGCACTCTGCCTGGTGGATGTGCTTGTGCTGGTTAGGTTTCACAGTTACTTGGAGTAGAGTCCTCTCCACACCTTTTCTTCCTTTAGAAGGAAGAGGCTCATCATCTAAGGCTGTGTTACTAGTTTCATCCTTTATGTTTGGCTGTGCTGGGTCTTTGTTGCTGACCGGTCTTTCTCTAGTTGCAGCAAGCAGGGTCTACTCTCTGGTTGCATGGGCTTCTCATTGCAGTGGCTTCTCTTGTGGAGAATGGGCTCTAGGC